TGCTTACTCCACATGTGTGCTTGCTTGTAGTGATAATAAAAACGAGCGAGACAACCGCCCAGTCCCAAATGGTGCAGTCCACTAGAGCAAGTGCACACAAGGACCATGAGACTGTAGCAGAGCCAGTTTAAGACGAACCATGGCCACTTCCCATCTCCCAGTGTATCAAAAACGTGGCTTCTTGACTACATGCTTTCTACATCCTTGTGTTCTTGCTGGTTTGTTCTTGAAAGGTAAGTTGTAACCATTCATCCCAAGAACACAAGACTGTTCCTCACATTCTTGGTGTTGAGAAACATACACAAAGTACAACTTACATGTAACAAGCAGATTTTCCCATAGTTCAAACCAAGAAGCACACTGCAGCCTGTACTTTCTATAGGTTCAAGGTTGGGAGTAATGCATTAATTGTTACTGTTGTTCATGTCTCTATGCACAATGCATTCAAAACATACCTTTCATGTACTTGTCTTTATATATACATTGCACACACCTCTGCTCCCTGTGTCCCCCACTAGAAAACCACCATAGACAACAAGTGTGGCTTGTCACCAGCAAAACCAGCATATGTTGTGTGTTGGATGCTGGTATGCTGGTCAGCAGCAAGACTAATGTGGGGTGGCCAGCTAAAGCAACACCAGACCAGCACCATACCAGCATTAACTAGCATAAACCAGCCTAGACCAGCAAGGAATTCTTCAGGAGAGTCAGCTGACTGCATGACTTAGATTGTGAACGTGAGCAAATATTTCACACCACTGTCAACTCACCAAAAGTGTTAAAGTGAAATACAGTTTTTGATCTCCATACCGAATATGAAAGTACTCCAACATCACCTAAACAGGTCAGACTTGACTTTGATCATGAAGAGCTCTATACACGTGACGTTTCATTCACGAAACATTTTATTTCGAGGCAGCTATTTTTAGACATTAGGTTCCAGTTTCAATTTGAGAGAAGAAGTAGGTCAAGTATAATGGATTATTTTGGAGTAACTATTCCAGTACAGCACTGCTTAGGTTTGTAAGCTGTCATTATTATCTCTTGATAGGAAAACAGAATGAGCTCTCTGGAATCTTAATGCAAAAGCATTTTCAAACGGCAATCCACCAGTCTTGTTTATGCAGATCCAAGCTTGTGTTCAAGCCAAAGAGCAGCCAGGGTTACAGTACAATACAAGAATTGTACACACATGTTCAGAAAACAGAAATTAAGGATCTGTATTCAGTCCATTGCCTTTCATTACACCTTTCATTTACACTGCATGTAAAGACATACTCTTAAGAAGAACTCAAAAATGGCATCTTTGCACTCAAGTTCTTGCTAAAGCCTGAGTAGACTGATAAACCAATGTGATGAGCAGTGTTTCTAAACTCTTTTAAGGGGTTCACTGATTTTAATGTACTCTTTAAAAGTCCATATTACATAAACCAGTTACTTAAAAACAATATAATTGATGTATTTAATGTCAACATATTTTCAAGTCAAAAATACCATTGGTTTATTTTTTTTAATATACATAAGATAAATAAATTCATATCTAATGTTCTATATCTATAACAATGTATGATTGATATAGATGATCCATAAATTAAGAGCTTGAAGGTAGCAGAAACTGCTGAAAAATGAAAGATGAAAGCACAGGAAAGCATTACAGATTGAAGCTCATCTCTCATGAGCTCTATTCTAGTTACAGATGTGTGCTAACCAGAATATTGGCAATTAACTGGTAACAGGTTTGCTCCTCAAGTTGCATTTCTGATGATGATCAACGTAAAAGGTGAATGTTGAGAAAATGTATATACCGGGTGATTCAAAAAGATTCATCCAATTTCAAAGCGCCACATTTTTTACAGCTGTGAGGCACCTAGGAACCAATCACATACCAAATGAAAGTGGGGGTCATAGAGTTTCTGACTGTCACCGGAAGATGGCTCCCTTCAGTCTGCGAGGAGATGGAGACCCCTGAGCAGAAAGTGTTTTGCATTCTCCACTTCAATAAGAGTGAATCCGTCATAACTGGCAACATGATTTTCACTGGCAGTGAACCTCCAACAGCTCAGAGCATTCGTTGTTGGTTCCACAACACTGGACGATCTCTGAAATCGTATTGAAAGAGCCGTGAGTACAGTGACACCCAACACGCTCAATCGAGTATGGGATGAATTTGACTATTGCGTTGATGTTGTCTGTACTATATACGTACAGCTATATACTTTTGCTCACTTAAACCATTTACAATTTACATTGTTCTGTAATGATTTACAAGTGAAATAGATCATTTTGAAATCAGATGAATCTTTTTGAATCACCCTGTACTACATTTCAAAAAAAGTATTTTGAAATTAAGCAGTATTATTACAGTCATCAGTGATAAAAATTAACAAAGTAATAAAAATGTACTTACTGCAAATTAATAGTTTTAAGTTTAAATACCATGTTTTTTTTTACTGTATTATTTCAAGAAAAGTTGACTGTAAAAATAGTAGCTGTCTGTTTTCATGAAGGGTTGATTATCATAAAAAAAAGTATTTAAAAAATTGCAGCAACCCTCTAATAAAAATAAATAAAATGCATTTTACATATTGAAACATCTTAAAACTGTGTTTGCAAATGTGCCTTAAAGACATGTCTTCATTTCTTAAGACATGCCTCAAGATGTCCTAATATGTCTTCATAAGTGTGTCTTCAGACGTGTCCCAAGACATGGTGTTGGATGGGTATCTTCTCTGCCGTCTCAGAGAAGATCTGTGGTGTGGTAGGTGTCCAGCGTCATCAACATGGGCCTTCAGCAGCTCGACTACGTAAAAGGGCATAATGTGGCCTGCATATTAAAACAAAACAAAGCATACCAGTATACACACCTACATACATACCCACACTTTACTTCCTAATTCAAATTGTCACCTATGGGTCTGGGGCAGAAGTCAAAACGTTTGCAAGAAATAAACATGAAACTTGTGTAACTGTAGTTCAATGTCTATTCTTTTTTACACTAATCATTTTGGTTTTGTCCCAGATCTACTTTTCCCCTTACACTCACACTTACAAATGTAAATACCAAGTTTGGCCATATGATGGCAATGTTGTAGTCACTAAAGTTGATGTGCAAGCTTTGGAAGCTTCATTTCTTCAACATTCAAAATGAGTAACACTTCCTAAGAATCCTGTATTAATAATGTATTTACAGTGTTGGCTTAATGTTGGCCTTACAGAGAACTAAATATCCTTTACAGGCTTTAAGTGAGGGGAGAAACACATCTACCTGGTGATTCACAAACAGGATGTACAACTCCATATTTCGAGTATTCAGAAGTGCATAGTTTATCGTAGTTGTGATGTTGTGTGGAGAGTCACACCACAGACTTTGGAAGTCACGTTGTCAATTTGTAACTGGCATCATGCCCATATTAGGAACTCTTGGCCTCACTCTTAGTTTCACTTATGGGAAAAATTAATGCCATCTCAAAAATTGCTGCTATCTTGCCCTGTGGTCTATTTTCCTCAAATGTTTCTGGGTCCTTTGAATTATGAGGTCGTTAAAAAGGCAAAATACTAATATTGCTGCATGTAAGCTAACACTACTGTGGAGTGAATTGACATTTTAAGACTAGTTTATAGTCAATCAGCAAAGACAGATTTGCACAAGGCTAAAGCTATCGACTGTTAGAAGTCTGTGCCACTCTATTTTTTCAATAAATATGATATAAATAAATAAGATTTTAATATACTTGCTGTATATAACTTTATTATGCTATGTAATCTAATTTTTGGTAATTAATTTAGTAAAATAGTAGAGATAGACTGTATTTACACATTTAAGTTGAAAACGGAACTATATTATAATTTGAACTTCCAGCTTTCCAGTATAGTTTGCTTTAGGGGCCTGGGACATGTAAAACATCAGTAATGTAAACTTGACCACCAAGTAGTCAGTGTGGTAGCACAGTAGTCGGACCACAGGACACTTCTCCACTTCCCCTCTGTCCATTTTAAATGAGCTCGGGCCCAGAGAAGGTGGCAGCATTTCTGGATCCTGTCTATATATGATTTTTTCTTTGCGTTTTAGAGTTTTAACTTCTTTGCTGTTTTACGTTGAGAAACATTATTCTTGAATCGTTGTACTATTTAATCATGCAGTCTTTCACAGAGTGGTAAACATTCATTCCATATCTTTACTTCTGAAAGACTCAGCCTCTCTGGGATGCTTTTTTATATCCAATCATGTTACTGGCCTATTGCCAATCAACCACCAGGTGTTTTCTTAAGCATTATACAACTTTACCAGCCTTTTGTTGCCCCCATCCCAACTTGTTGTAAATATAGGGTTAAATGATTTGCACATCATTGCATTTTGTTTTTATTTACATTTTGCACAGCATCCCAACTTTTTTGGAAATGGGGTTGTGAATAAATACTCATTCTGTATTTGATGCCTTCCACATGTTCCAAAAAAGTAGGGCAGATACAGCTACACAAGGCTACATGACAAAGTAAATCAAAGCCATTATACAAAACTACACATAGAAACAGAAAGAGTTTTTGCTGGAACAGAGTTAGTTTATACATTAAAGCTTCAAATATCGAATATGTATATTTAAGTCAGAGCTTAAACGCTAATGCTAAAGTGTTACCTTGGCACTAACATAATGTAGGACCAGATGAACAAAGGCCACACAGTCAGAAAAAAGGGCACTATACAGGTACATTTTGTACAGCAAAGTACAAGTAATCTAAATGTACCCTCAAAGGCACAAAAGCGGTTTTAAAGTGTAGTTGTTTACCTTACACGACCTTTAAAGGTACACTACATTTATATTCCCACAACATATTTGTACCTTTTCATAATTTTATTGAATACAAAAATAAAAGAAAAATGCCTGGAGTCACAACAGGGTGTATGGAGTTAATGCAACTTGCAATCCAATGGTACAATTATGTTTACCAGCTAAAGGTTAATACCCTCAGGGGGTATCACCCTAGTGCTGTGAGGCATGCCACTCCAGTGACAGTTTTTCTGACAGTACATTTTTTCAGAGAGTGTACTCAGACTCAGAGAGGGATCGGTGCTTTTGGGTTTTTAGTTCTTTTCCTGCCTGGTTTGCTTGACTTAACACCTGATTCTGGATAACTAGAGTGTGAGTAAGTATATGAGCAATAGAGTCTGTTATTATGCTTATTACAGTCCTAAACCTGGTGCAAATTTAGAGCTCTGTACAGAGCTACCTAAATGTCTTCAGGGATTCATGAGGCAGAAGTAGACAAAGCAGTAACAATTATTTTTTTAATTAGAAACTAATCTCATCTTAAATAATAAAAAATAACTAGTCTTAAAGTTATGCAGCTACAAAAAGGGCAGATTTATTTGGTCTCATTTGCCAATACAGGACACCAATAGCATAGTGGATATCTTCCCCTTCCAATAAGAGTCTTCTATTATTTTACTGCTTGAAAATGGAAAGTGGAACATGAAACTTGATATATTAACAAAACATCTCATTTTTTGTTGTTTTCTCAATACATTTCAGGCACATAAGGCACATAATGCACATCTTATACACAATGCAAGTTTTTTCATATTTCCTATACCATAGGCTTTAGCATGACAAATGGCATGCAGCTGATGGCGTTCTAGCAAAACTTGGCTTTCCTAGTCTTGTTTTTTAGGTTATTTTTATCTTAGTATCAAATTAATTTGTACTTGATTTATGCAAAGCACTATTTGGAACCCAAACATGCGGTTCCAAATAATATTCTATACTACTACTACTACTTCTACTACTACTGCTACTACCACTACCAATAATAATAATAATAATAATAATAAGAAGAAGAAGAAGAAGAAGAAGAAGAATATTGCCATAATAATGTGACTGTCATACACTTTTTAAACAGTCAAGATTCATATCCAATGTACATTAAAATAATAATTAAAGAATATAGCCATTAGCATGTACTCATAAAGAGACAATAACTATTGCAGTAGAATGACAGCAAGTAGGAGCATCAGTAGACAGCTAAGGTCCAGTCTCAGCCAGGCTTCACTCCCATTACACATGTTTCCTGAGCAACAAGTGGCACTACCATATGCACTAACTCCACAAAGACTTTTAGAGATGCACCCCTTCACAGTTCTGTTTGATACTAAGAAAGAAAAAAAAAGTAAAACGTTATGACAATACATTTAGTACACATAGTATCTTTGTACAATCACACAATTGTTTTTTCAATTAAACATAAGAATTTTAAAGTCATATTTTATATTAACAGAAAGAATTCAAACCTTTACTTTTCTGGCAATATGTATTTTAGAGTTTTATTATTATACTCAAAAGAAACAGTAGAAATCAACACAGAGGGCAGTATTACCCCAAAATGCCAACACATACAGAATACACTCTATATGTCACTGCAAAAGAACAAAGGAAACTAACCGATGCTGGTCATACACTGATCTTGGTTTCCCACACAGAACACAGTAGAGTTGCAGGTTGTGTTTGCTTGACCGCTGCAGGTGGCACATTTCAGTCCATTCAGGGTGTTGTTAGGTTCTGTGAGACAGATACACAAGCTAAATAGAATAATTGTGAAGTATGTGAAGTAGCCACAGTGAACATTTTATATGTGCATATTTGGAAAAAAGATAATAGAATACACTTACACATTGAAACTGTTACATCAACATAATTTAACTTATAAACTTACTTATAAGATAATGTAGTATATTTCAAATTCTAATGAATTTTGGGGTCATTCTGATTACTTGAAGTGTTTCAAGAACACAAACTTTTAGTTTTCAGGTAACAACAGACATGAAACTGAAAAAAAATCCTCACCTTTAATTCTAAAGTGAACACTATTTTAAGAGTCCATTACAGATGTTTTGTAGATTGTTTTAACTAGTTGTCTTTAACTGACATTCAACTAAATAATTATTTAATGTAAATGAGTGGTAAACTGAATGTAATAGATTCTATATAATCTAATTCTAAATCTAACCTAACCTTAAACTTCACCTCAAAACCTAACCTTAAATGTAACCCTAACCCTAAATGTAATGTTACATATAATCAACTAGATTGTTTCTAAATCATTTCAGCCTCTGTAGATAATCTGTAGGGGACTCAGAAACAGAAATAATGTTGGTATACTGTAGTGGGTAACACCTCTGCCTTCTACACTGTAGACTGGGGTTCAAGCCTCTGCTCAAGCAAGGACCCACACTATACATATAAGAGTCCTTGGGCAAGACTCCTAACACTACTTTTGCTTACCTGTGTAAAATCATTGAAATCTGGATAAGAGCATCTGCCGTAAATGTAAATAAATTCTTTGGAGCAATGCCTTAGAACAGGGTTGGGAAATTGCACAGTTGCTCATTTCCTGCCCAAACAAATCTGATTGAACTTGCAGTTATTTACCAGGTTTACTTCCCTTTTCCCCACCCCTGCCACTGAAGAACCCCAAGAAGTGTTTATTTGCCTAGAAAAATGCTAATATTAGCATAAGTGTAAGTGATAATAATACAGTTAGTAAGGATTTTATGTTTTTAAATGTGTTCAGATCCATGCGATGGCTGGGGGGTGTCAGGGAGAAATCAAGACCTAAACCTTCTAACTAGTTCGCATAATATCAACTACTTTTTGGAAAACAAACAAACAAAAAAATCGTATTACTTGTTGCTACATTAACATTCGCTTGTATATATTCTAATTATATATGGTGTGGAACAAGCAAAAACACATGTTGGCCATATCGAGAGTTAAACCATTAGCTCTGTAAGACTTTTGCACAATAGTGTGTATATAGGTCTTTTAGAAAAGAATATAAATGCAAAAATGCTATGCATGTAATACTGAAAGTTACAAGTAGCTTGGAACTTGCATTACTTTTGGGTAGGTGAAATTATAAGTGGCAATGTTAGATTGTTATTAAATATTAGGCCCATATTAAATACCAGAGTAGATCTCTTATACTAGCACTAGTGCCAGAGACAGGAGAGGTGAGCCAGCAACTGGAAAGGTTGTGAGTTCAAATCCCAGGACTGACTGTGTACACCTGGTTGTGCTCTTAGGCAAAGCATTTAATCCCCACTGCACCAGACACCACTGCTTTGCCACTCCCAGGAGGCAAAATGATAAATTTCCCTTGTAGGATCAATAAAATATATAACATAATGTAGTGATGCAACTGTGATCTCATTAATGCCTCATAAAAAATGACCTTCAATTAATAACATTATGACTTTTACAATGTGATTGTTTTCTCTGTATTGCTAGGTCTCAAACTGGCACTCTAATGTAAGCCAATGGTTGAAGTATATTAAGTAAGCTCACCGGACAAAAAAGTAGTCACCTGTGGCTGAAATGTACCTAACAGCGTGTACGGGCATGAAAACAGCTGTGATTTGATTTGGCATGGACTGAACAAGTTTCTGGATGTAGACCACTCTTGCATCTAAAAATTGTACAGTTTGGACAGATTTCATGGATGCCTTCCCTGGCATCTTACTTGTTGTTCCAGGTAGTCCCTCAGATTTTCAAGAGGATTTAAATCTGGGGATTTTGCAGGCCAGTCCAGATGTGTGAATACTCCTGAATGTTGTCAAAACACCCCCAGAACATCACAGAGCCTCCTCCAGCTTGAACCACACCTGGCACGCAGTCCTCATTGAAGGCTTACTGAGGTCTACGATGAACACGATGCCTAGCATCATTCACATACACACAAAAACGAGATTCATCTGCCCAGAAAACAAGTTTTTCAGTCATAACAGCCCAATGTCTTTTCACCCACTGTAACTGGGCAACTTTGTGAGCAGAGGTAAGCAAAGGCCTCTTGTGTGCCACTCTGCTCTATATGTTCATGGTATGCAGTTCCCTGTGGAGTCTTCTTTCAGAAATTGGTTGTGAAGGACCTGCGTTGACTTCTAGAAGCAATTCTTGCCTGGAAGCTGCACATCTGCTTTGCGACCCATTTTCTACACATCCAACGAGACATTGCCCGTCGCACACCCTGCAGGTATTTATAGCCTGATCATCTTCGTGCAACGCCATCTGCAGGAGCCTGAAGTTATTACCACCTTAAACATGCAAGTTGACTATTTTTTTGTCCAGGGAGCTTATATGAAGTATATTAATCTAGGATTCACTAGTGTAAAATTGGTGGTATAAGAGGTCCAACAAGGATGTTATGGGCGCTGCGTCACCAGAGATATCACTGCACTATGTGACCCAGTGCAAATGCACTTACAAACTACAAAATTTATTTTTAATAATCCCTGCTTTTCTGTATACCATCTGAAAAGTAAGTGCTTTCAGTATATGCATACCTCCCAAAAAATACCAAATAGCAAATATTCAACATGCCATAAAATAAGACAGCACCACTGCGTCAGTTATGAAAACATCACTTAACAGAACATCACAGAAAAAAAAAGTAAAGAAAACATGCTTACCAGGGATTTTGATTTCATTGCAGTTATCAAAATCACAGCAGGAGATAAAATTAAAGAGACTTGACTCTCCAGTGTTAGCTGAGTAAATTATGCCTGATGCAGCTCCATTCAGAAGAGTACAGATGTCTTGTGTGTCGCAAAAACGTGCAACTGAAGTACTGTTCCCATATCCTAAGCAGACATGTGAAAATAACATCCATATTATAGCATGTCTTATTTTATTGAATATTTAGTTACAGTCTGATAGCATACATTCAGAACCTGAATGATATTTAATTAGCATTAAAAAAGAGACCTCCAAAGCTTACCTGATACAGAAAAATTAGTTCTCCCAGCAGAACACAGTGAGCCTGTTGGACACTCAATTGAATCTGTGGTGCTACACTGACCCGATTCACCTCTACACTGGAGACACTGCAGTGTGTACACTGGGAAAAGAGCAAATTCATCAGGAAGTCAATGTATGGACACTAAAACCATGTTATTGACTTTGATACCACTTTAAAATAAGACTACCTTTATAAAGGCTTTATGTGTGGTTTAAAGGTAGCTTATTAATGGTTATTGTGTCATAAACACTTTAAATCATGAATGGGCACTTAAGTAAATGCATCATTAAAAAGGGAAACAGTGGCCTGTGGTTTGCCAAATAGTGAGCCCACATTCATCTATACTCTTAAACCTCTGATCCTACTGGTTACTTATCTTACTTTGTCTTCAGCATCAGTTACCATTAAACCTGTGAGCTTCAACAGATCTTTCTTAATAAGTTACCACTTTTTAATCACCAACAGGATGTTTTATTAGAAATGACTAAATTCACATTCAAAGGTTTTCATCTGTTGTTCATCTGTTGTTCATCTGTTTCACATGGTATCTGCCATTATCCTTACGATTGTCATAAGTATTGATATAATGCTGCCAAGTTTTAATATACATCAGACACAAAGGTGGAACTACTATGATCCTTGGGGTTGGGTGGTTTTCCACGTGTGGCACAGTTTAAAACCTGTTTTCCTTTTTTCATGGGTTAGAACTGATTAATGATTTTCATGGCATTTATGACCTAATTAATAAATAATTTTTAATCCATTCATTGATCCTTTATAAAATGTCCTTGCTTGTGCCCCACAGATACTATGCATTCATATTTTTTTACTATGAAACACACACTTGACAAAAGCTTTTTGCACTGGCATGGTTTAAGAGGTAGATTTGTTACTTGATTGAGCAGAATACTCATCCCAAGGTTAGGCTCCTGCAAATTAAATCTTTTATGGTGTGGTAAATGAATATCATTCCATGTTTTCTCTATAGCAAGAAATAGTAAGAGTTTAATACTGTTTTAAAAGTATAGAAACTAGTTTGATGCAGTAGATATAACATTAATCAAATAAATTTATTGGTCATAGAAAAGTAGAATTTCTGCTATTAATGCATGAATTTGTTGAAATCAAAGCAAAGAAAAAAGGATGTTTAATTTTACCTGAGCAGAAGAGAGCAGAGAGACACAGTCCCAGAAGCATGTTCATCTTGAAGGACAAATGTTAAATGAATAGATATGGCACACCCTTCAGGTCTTATTAAGTACCTTGCATTGAAGGCATTTCCTGTTAACCATGTTTGGTACCATACGAAGGAATTCTAAACTAGATGAGGAGCGCCTGCTGACTGAATTTTGTGGTCTGTTGTGATATATATAAATATATATATATATATATATATATATATATAGATAGATAGATAGATAGATAGATAGATAGATAGATGTTTTTGACATGTTATTGAGAGTCCATTGAGTGTTTATTTCATCCAAAAAGGACCACTCAAATTTTATATTGTTTTTATATCATATATATATATATATATATATATATATATATATATATATATATATATATATATATATTATAAAAATATATTGTTTTTAAGGGAGCTCCCTTGGAATGTAGGTCAAGAGGAAGTTGGAAGAAAGTAAAGAGATCCCAGGAATGTTCACGGTTTTGCTACAGTGTGGCTTTATTCCTCTTAGTAAATGGTTACATCATCATAAATACAGAATATACTTCAAATAATATTGAAATATATTAAAGGTGAAACCCTTACCTTTTTCATTCATGTAATGGACAGTAACTCTCCAAGAGCTAAAGCATTCATGAAATAAACATGCAGACATTTCATATGCCACCATTAATGTAGGCCTGTGTTAGATTAGGTAAGTCCATTTGTCATGTGGTTTTGGGTGCTTGATTCTACTACAGAATGTACTAATGAGAAATCATTCTATACTCCCAAAAACACATATGATAGGCCTGCAATAATTTGCAGCAGTTGCTTAAGCCTTCTCTCCCTCAAAAAGGGCTTTGACCATGCTGACCACCACTGCCACTGCCATGTCATTATTAAAGGGACAGGCTCTACAACAGGGGTGTCCAATCTTATCCGCAAAGGGTCAGTGTGGGTGCAGTTTTTCGTTCCAAACAAAAAGAGCACACCTGATTCCAGTCTTTAAGCAACTGATCATGTGTGCTTTTGTTTTGTTGCAATGAAAACCTGCAGCCACACTGGCCCTTTGCAGACAAGATTAGACACCCCTGCTCTACAAGCACTGCGTAACTGGAAGGCCTACAAGAACTTCACTCCTTTCACTCAGGTCCCATAAAAGAGGCCCTGCAAAGTAGTGGCAGACAGGAAGCATCTGAGTAGTGAGAGGCTGGACAGATTAGTGATGAATATTGAGTAGTTCATCATCAGCTGGGACTGAGCACCCCGCAGGAGAACTCCATGCAGCCCAAAAGGTGGAAGCCATCTTCAGCAAGCTATGCTCAAGACCATTGACCATGGCTCAATAGAGTTCAATCCCCAGCGATGCCGTAGCTGAGAATCCAAGACAGCTTATTTGGCCTCGCTCTTCCTGGGTGGGTAGGTTGGCCTTTCCATAACTCAGCGTGTTGTTAGCCTGTGTGGATGTCTGGTAGCTATTGTAACAGAATTGCCAATGGAGTCTTTGAGCTTTTAGCATGTTGAGCTTTCTAATGATGTTGCATTAGCTGCAGGTTGAAAATATGTGGTGACCAGCTTCTAGCCTTCACCCTTCCAGCTTGGTAGCATTGTGTGATTGGGGGGAAACTACTCCAGCAGACAAATTCAAATAGATCCCTAGATACCTTGTGGACTTTATTAAGCAGTTCTAGCAGGGTTGCTGCTCTTGGGACACAAGGGTAAAGCTCACAGTGTAGCTTTAGGGCTCCAGCCTCAGGGACTCATTGGAACTGTGTGCATTGTCTAACGTGTTACCTGCTTTACTACAGTATGTATATCATATTTGAAGTCCTTATTTATTTATTATAGCATTTTTTTATTATTACCAAGGTAATCATACTCCCAGTGGGTCTAATATTGGATAGAAGCATTTAATATTCACATAAAGGTTAACGGTCCACAGTATAAATATAAATATTCACTGTATAACCACTGTACATAAATATGCATATCTATTTGAAAAACAAAAAAAGAAGTAGGTTTCTATTGCAGAATAAATGAAAGTACTGGGTATTTATTTCAGGAAGCAAAATGTTGTTTAACAGGTTGGATTGAAGTGGGTTGGAATGTGGCCAACGGGCAGTGCAAACATTCTTGCTAGGTATGATTTATGATATGAAGTATGAAAAAAAAGTAAACAAAGAAGAATGCTGAATTCATAGATACTAACTGAAAAGTCTATGAATGTAGGTTCATGCATACATAAAATATAGCATTTTAAATAATAATAGACTTTAGACATCTCATTTATGGTGTTTGTTTTTCAATATAATATTACTCTCTACATTGTTTGTAAACATTTTATTTGTCTGACAAAGTGTTTCCTTAAAGTTTGTCAGACAAACATATCATTATACAGGACAATTAGCAAACTATTGGATTTATGAAATGCAAGCTGGCACTCTCTTCAGTCCATGATAACACATGTGCCTTCAGGTCTGTGCTACATTACTGATTTCACATATTCTTGTGTCTCTTTATTTTATTAATATGAAGCTGTATGAAAGTCAAGCAGTCTTAGGTCTCATGCAGGAGTGTTGGTGTTTAGTAGTCTGCCATATAAAATTTAACACAATCCTTCAGAATTAGAATAGATACTAATGTGCTTCAACATCTTCATCACCATTCCACTTAATGGCTATTTACAGGTGTGTTCCTAACCAAAATATTTCAGGAATGATTCTAATTTTAGCTTATTCATGCTCACAGTTTCTGTGTAACCCTTCAAAGAGTCATCTTTGACCCTACACTCATTATCATGCATTGTTAAGAGGGGGTTGTTAAAAGTCCTATGCCAACATGTGCCTCACTGTGCTCCAACATTTATTTACTTGTACATTTCATGCATAACATTTGACATATTCTTTTTCTGTAAAACAATCAAAAATCTAGATTTTAAGTCCCTTATTTTGTTTGTGATCCAGAATGACAAATGAGACATTCCCCTTGAAAACATGTAGCCTTGCTGCATACTGTACTATCTGACTTCATCACTGAGCAGACATTACATTTAGCTTTCTCTGTTATCAATATTTGGTAGGAATAGAGTGTAAGCATTTTCAGATTTATGGAAAATCCCCAGTCTTATTTACAAAGGCCCAGTGCAGGTTCAAGCCAGAGGTGCCTAACACTGTTCCTTCAGACAAGGATGGATTACTGACCAGGCAGTGGGGCCAGGAGCCTCTGCAATCCATTGCATGTACAAATGACTAAATAAAGTAAATAAATTACGAAATTTGATCTTTTCTCAGGCCTCTCAAGTGTTATATTATTATTGACCAAAGGGATTTTGTTGTTTTAATTCAAATGGGACATTCAACAGTGTGTTACAGTGATGTAAGCTTTTAACTTTTCATTTGTGTTAGACCGCTTCTGTTTTTGCATTATGACTCAGTCTGAATTAAAAAAAAAATACGGAAAGAAATCATGATTGACGATTGTACAAATCTTACACCAAAGCACAAACTGTTATGATGTAGGCACGATAGCATATTGCACATAATTAGTACAAAAAAGAAACAAGAAGCTTTGCTCAAAGTGTATAATAACATAGACGTGAACAATTGCTTAATCTCACTTTTCCGATCGTGTATTTATTTAATTATGTATTTCCTATGCTATAATGCTGGGGCCTTCAAAGAAGGATGCTCGTGCTCAGGGGCCTCACAAGACTAAGACCATCTGTCCCTGCCTTCAGATCCCCCTGGGAACCACAGTTAATCAGCTAAGGGTATCAGGAGCATGTTATTCTTAAAGCTAGGTGTGTTATGTTAGATGGAACTAAATTCTGAAGGTTTGAGCACTACTTGCATGCTCTGACACCAGTGGATAAGCTTGGAGACACTGGTTTACACCGATAAGCCAAAACATTATGACCACTCACAAATAGAGCGAATATCATTGATTATCTGGTAACAACAGCACATGTCAAGGTCTGGTTAGGAAACAGTCAGTTCTCGTAGTCAAAGTGCTGTGAAGATCTGACTTTGATAATGACTGGGTCATAGCATCTCCGAAACGGCAAGGCTTGTGAGGTGCTCCTGGTCAGCAGTATTCTCAGCAGTGTAGAATACCTACCGACAGTGATCTGAGGAGGGACAAACTGGCATATTAAGTAGGTGGTCATAATATTTTGGCTCACCGGTGTAGATTCTAAATGTTTCCATCTTGAAGGATCTCAGTACAACAAACTGCTCTAAAAAACCCAAGTCAGCTCTTGAATGGCTTGAATTAGTGGATGAGATTGATTAGAAAGAAGCCAACAAGAGAACATCACAGGATCTCTGCAGTAAAATATAAGCCTGACAATGTAAAAACAGGTACCATAAAAGGTCATCTGAGTCATAAAAAACACAAACAGCAAAAAGTTGAATGCTTCCAATATATTTTTAATTTTGATTATACTGTTTATTGTCCTTCTAGACCCATGAATAATTTTAATAGAAGCAAAAAAAAGATGAGCTGGTTTATTAAATACCAAAGCACAGACTTCCTTCAACTTGTCCAGTGTGTGCCCATATTTCTGGATAAGTATACTATATAAGATGGGAGGGACACTGCGGAGTACAGCTTTAGTCTGACTTTTTCAGTTTCTGTTTATTGGATCAACATGTATAGTAAGGGAATTACCCTGGCATTCTATCTCTCTCATACTAAAATCACACTCCGTTTCTGAAATGAGCGTTACCTGACAACAGTCATATTGGAAGACATAATGCTGATCATCAGGTTATATTTAGACAGACTTCATATATATATTACAGATAGAATAAAAAATCAATACAGCAAAGTGCAATATAAAATAAATATAGTGTGTATCTGATAGACTCTGTAATAACATTCATGTATAATGCTCTCTACCTGACAAAAATATAACAATGCTTGAAAAGAGGACAAAACATGTAACAATGTACCATGCTTGATCCACATGAAGTTAAGAGCTTGAAGGTAGCTGTGCTTCAGAGGAACTGAAGAAATTGATCTGTTGCTAGTAGAGTTCAGGGAAGCTTTATGGATTGAAGTCCACTTCTCATAGGCCATTTTAGTCATAGGCCACTTTGTCTGATTGAGGCAAAGGGTGAATTCAGGTATTGTTGCCTCTGGAGAGGACATACAGAATCTCTGCAACCTCAGAGAAGACCTGTGGCAGATGAAGTTCCAGCGTTTTCAGCATGGGCCTTCAGCAGCTCGACAACTTCAGAGTGAGAGGCCTTGATGGCCACAGATAGAGCCGTGTGTCCAGCCTGTACAAACAAAACAAAACAGCCAACATTTAATTTTTAATTCTAAATTGTCATCTGGGTTGACTCTATTTACATTAAATTAGGATTACTCATAACATAAAATATATGCACTGAGCAGATATCACTTAGAACAACTTTCTTGATGTCATATGAGTGGCATCATTGCTATTTTTAAGGCTTTACTTTGACTTTCATCAAAAATCATATATCCCTTCATATAATTTGCATTGGCTGGAATCATTCAGAGCAGCCATTGGTTTGACTCATTCAGAGCGAGCATTGGCTGGATTCATTCAGAGCGGACACGGGTTGGATTCATTCAGAGCAGGCACTGGTTTGACTCATTTAGAGCAGGCGTAGGCTGGATTCATTCAGAGCAGGCACTGGTTTGACTCATTCAGAGTGGGCACTGGTTGGATTCATTCAGAGCAGGCACTGGTTGAACTCATTCAGAGTGGGCACTGGTTGGATTCATTCAGAGCAGGCACTGGTTTGACTCATTCAGAGTGGGCACTGGTTGGATTCATTCAGAGTGGGCACTGGTTGGATTCATTCAGAGCAGGCACTGGTTTGACTCATTCAGAGCAGGCAATGGTTGGATTCATTCAGAGGAGCCATTGGTTTGACTCATTCAGAGTGGGTACTGATTGGATTCATTCAGAGCAGCCACTGGTTTGACTCATTCAGAGCGGTCATTGGCTGGATTCATTCAGAGCGCCACTGGTTGGATTCATTCAGAGCAGGCATTGGTTTGACTCATTCAGAGCAGCCACTGGTTTGACTCATCCAGAGCAGGTACTGGTTGAATTTATTCAGAGCAGCCACTGGTTTGACTCATCCAGAGCGGGTACTGGTTGAATTTATTCAGAGCAGCCATTGGTTTGACTCATTCAGAGTGCGCACTGGTTGAATTTATTCAGAGCAGCCACTGGTTTGACTCATTCAGAGCAGGCACAGGTTGGATTAATTCAGAGTGGGCATTGGCTGGATATATTCAGAGCAGGCACTGAATGCCAAGAGACTTTTAATGCACATCATATTTGCACTGGTGAGTGGAAGAGAAGGTAGGCCTAAAAATCCTTCCTTTACATTCTTGCTCTCATTTAGGCTTGTTTGAAAACAAGTCAAAAATATGTCACTTGACTGTCTATTACAAGCATGAAATGTTTATGTTTAAGTAGTATTGAACCCGGTGTGGGAAAAGTGAAAGTACAGCATTGTTAACCTGCCACCAATGTCACATTGAAAATCCCATAGAGATACTAGTGAAAATGAACTGCTATATAATGATCCATGACTATGATACATTTTCCAAAATGTATAAAATGCCTCACAGCAGCATTATCATTTCTCATGAATTTAATTTGCTGATACCTGCAGATAGCCTGATAATATATTTTTCAAATTCTCATACTGGCTCATACTGTAAGAATTAGAGCCTAGGACGATGGTCATTAATATGTATTTTTGCCTCTTAGTATTAAAAACATCGCAGTGGTGTTTTTTGTACAGTGGGCAAGATTTGTGGAGAAAATTAAAAGAACCATAATTTAATAAACTCTAAATATGTAGTACTACATTGTACATTCAGTGTAAGCAAACAAGAATTATGTCAGCATTTCATTTAACCTTTGTCCTACTATGTAAAAGATCTGAGCGGAGTATACCTGTATATCATCTCTACTTGTGTGTCTGTATGTGTCTCCACTCACCTTATCTTTGAGGCTAGTGTCACACTCAGGTGTGTCCAGCAGTAGTTTGGCTATCTCGCTGTGACCATGCTCACTGGCACACATCAGCGCAGTGGAGCCATCGTTGTCCTGTATGTTCACATCAGCTTTGCATTCAAGAAGAACCTGCACCATCGCTGTGCGGCCATGACTCGCTGCAAGCATCAGCGCTGTCTGGCCTGACTGCAGGAAGAGAAAGCACCAAAGATGAGCAAAAAAATATGAAGAGTACACAGGGTCATCAAGATAACAACAGGATTGACAATTTATCTTTGCACTGAGCATGTGGTTTTTACTGAACATTCATTCCTGTACACTGAGGCATGCTCAGGCACCGAGCATCCTCCTAGTCTCTTGGTTGGACATATTCAGAGCAGGCACTGAATGCCAAGAAACTTTTAATGCACATCACATTTGTGTTTGCAAGTGGAAGAGAAGGTGGGTCTAAAAAAAATACATTCCTTTACATTTTTCCAGTAATTTGTAAGGCTTGGTCTCAAAGAGGAGGAGTTTTGGGGAGTTTTGGGTCTCAGTCTCATTTAGACTCAGTCTTGACTTAATCCCGCTCTTATTTGGACTCAGTCTTGATTCTTTTTCTCTCAAATTGCAAACTTCTCCTTTGATTCTTTCTGTCTCTCAATTTGCAAATGAACAAAATTTCTAGTTTACTACCCTTTTTACCTGTTTGTTCAGACATGCACTGCCATTCAGAAGTTGAGAATCACAGTTCAAAAGTTTGAAATCAACGGTATTAATGATATAAAACCAACTAAAATGACAGAGAATACTGTACAGCATCAATAATTGAGTTTTAATTAAATGAACACCCAGAAAGCTTATAATCTAATCTAAAATGCCTTATGTTGTATAATTCATACTTTTTTCCCCCCAATTTTCTCCCCAATTTAGTCGTTTCCAATTCCACCCACTAGTTAGGACTCCCCCAATCACACGATACCACCAGCGCTAGGAGGGCAAAGGCTAGCACAGGCTTCCTCTGAGTCCTGTGAAGTGCCACCGCATCTTTTTGAACTGCCGCTCATGCAACGTCATTGGACAGCCAAACACACCCGGAGGAAAGCATCGTTTGGAGGAAAGCACCAACTGCCAGATCTGTTACGCCAGCTAACAGACGCCTGTGCTGACTAGCATTGCGCTAAGTGATAGAGGAGAGACGGGGCCATCCTAACCGCCCAGTGAGCGGGGCCAATTGTGCTCTCTTGTACTCCCGGTAACGGATGGCTGTAGCATCACCAGGGTTCAAATTCGCGATCTCCTGAAGATAGGCCCAACACTTAGACAGTTTTGCCATATGGGAGCCCTTAATTCATGCTATTTAAACACATTGTAAATATTGCTATTTATGTAAAGTAACAAAAATAATAAAAGTTATTCCAAAAACCCATACATTAGTGTATTCAGGCCCTGTGAGAACTTTTATATTCCATAAGAGCTGGACATTTGAATAGACTCTTCGCAGTCAGTGAGCTCCTATCCAGGTTAAACTGCAGCACACTGAGTCAGTTTTGAATGAGTCAAGTCTACGCTTTGTAATATTGAGAGCTATTTGTGACAGTATTTGCTTTCCTATGTAAGATGTATTTAGTAGAAGGACATGATGACATGGGTTGGAAAAATGCTGTAAGAAAGAGATTAAGACTAGTTAAATATGTTGTGTTCTTGGAGCACAGGATGGTGTCTTGCTGTGTGTACCTGGCCGGCCCGAGCGTTGATGCTGCCCAGGCTCAGTAGCTGCTGGGCCACCTCCATGTCCTCAGGGCCTTCCGCTGCGGTCAAGGCTGCCAGCATTATCGCAGTGTAGCCTGCCTTGTTCTGATGATCCACCTCACACAGACCTCATGAATAAAACATTGATATTGATTTCTATTGATATTTATTAGTTTATGGCAAGAACTCTGTTTCATCTATCTATCTATCTATCTATCTATCTATCTATCTATCTATCTATCTATCTATCTATCCACAGTGCTGCTTGAAACTTTGAACTCTTTAGCATTTTCTACCTTTCTGCATAAATTTGACCTAAATCTTCATCAGATTTTCCCAATAGTACATAAACAGAACCAAATTAAACAAATGAGACAAAAATATTAGACTTGGTCATTTATTTATTGACAAAAAAGATCCGATATTACATATATGTGAGTGCCAAAAGTATATGAACCTTTGCTTTCAGTATCTGGTGTGACCCCTTTCCTTTAGAATAGGCCTTGAATTTCCTCCAATTGTATACAATCTGTCTGACTGGATTGGTGGTGTTCAATTCTTTAGAGATGGTTTTGTAACCTTTTCCAGACTGATGAGCAACAACAACTCAGATCCTCAGAAATCTCTTTTCTTCGTTCCATAATACACTTCCACAAATATGTTGTGAAGAATGAAACAGGGTGGTCACTCACACCTGATTGCCATCCCATTGATTGAAAACACCTGACTCTAATTTCACCTTCAAATAATCTGATATGTAATATTAGATCATTTTCCTCAATAAACAAATGACCAAGTCTAATATTTTGTCTCATTTGTTTAATTTGGTTTTCTTTATCTACTATTATGCAGAAATACGGAAAAGGGTTCACAAACTTTCAAGCACCACTGTATATGCTCATATGAACCTCAGGGCTAATTAAATCAACCACAATAATCTGTCTTCAGATACTGTTAAACATGAAATGTTCTTAATATATTGACTCATACAGAAAGAGAGATGGGACGTGTTTAAGACTGACAGATGATTATTCACATTCCCCATATAATCAGGACACCTTAATCATACCAGATATTGACCACTGTGATAAAAAATAATATTTGGGATGAAATATCTGAGTTGCCTCACCTGTATCCAACAGCAGCTTGACCACTGGGAAATTAGAGTGGGAAACACTGTAGTGTAGGGCCATGTTGCCATTGCCGTCGGCCAGGTTAACTATGTAGCGCAGTAGAGTGGGGGTTTGGTTCCCAACCTCCCTCAGGTACAGTGTGACCGTATCTGCCTGGGAGTCTTTCTGACTGGACACACGAAACCACTCCTGATAGAGTACCATCAGAATCTGCCTCTGAAGGTGGTAGACATAGAAAACAGTGAAAGACCACAAAAGCAGGCCTCAGTGGAAGGTTTAATGAACAGTTTTACTGTATCAAGAGATTAAACTGAAGCAATTAAAACGATGACAAACCTAAAACAGGAAAAGGTTAACTTAATACTTCATAGTACATAATATATTGCAAATCTCTTGCATCACTTCAGAGTTATTTTTATTATTTTGTACATTTTAGAATAATAATGAAAGCATCAATCTATGAAACAGTTCATATGAAACTGTTCCAGTTTCTAACTCAACATTTTTCAACTCTAAATTTCACCAAAGTCATAAATTAAAAATATTTGTAACAATATGAATTAAAAACGAGATTTTTTTGTTCTGTTTTCAGTATAAAGTCACACACAGGCATCAATATGAATATCTTTATTTGTGTCAGGAACACCTCTGAAACTTTTTACCATCAGCTTTTAAATCAAAATGTCTTTACGATTATGAAAAACATACATTCAGATTTATTCAGACTGGTACCCGGATAAACACAAAAGTTGTATTAACCATAAGACACAATTAGGCCCAATCCCATTTCTTATTTTTACCTCTACCCCTTGTTTTTGAGAGTCACCCTACCCCTTGGAACTGGATTACAAGCGGTAGTGGTTGAAATCTTCCCCCTATGAAATGGGACCCTCAAATAAAAAAGATCATTACTTCATTAACAGGCTACTAGAGGTGCTCTGTAGGTGACCCTGCCAGTCTGTAGTGATAGGAGGGTAAAGTTCAGTGCCCTCGCTGCTGGTCTTTAGTTAAATTTAGGGCATCATATGCTTTTTAAAGAGGGGGGATGCGATAACTATTTATCATTTCCCACCCCTAATTCTTCAGTGATATGAAGCTGAAGTCAGCTATTGGCCTGCTTCTTGTTCAAATTTTCCTGTTCCACCTTAAATGGAGCAGCACTGACATTCTGGTGCTTCAGGCATCAGTACTGCTAGACTATTTAAGGTGGAACGGGAAATTTAGCCAGCTAACTACCGAGACATCAGCATACTACTAGTGATTTTTAATGCTTGTTATGAAGAAAAGGAATGACATTAAACTAAGATAATACAATGGTTATCGTAACTTTTTTAACAGACAAAATACTTCCATTTTGTGTCGCTTGCGCAGCCATCTTGCCGGTTTTTCTTTCTTTCTCATAACACTCTGTTTGGAGTGTACCTCTGAAAAACCTCCTTTTGGAGGGCTACGTAACAATACTTCGCCCTACCCCTCCATCTCAACAAAAATTGGGACACCCTATCCCTAAACGTGAACGTACAAAACGAGGCCAAGGGCTAAGTGGTAGGGGCAAGGGGTGAAATGGGATTGGGCCTCAGAGTATATCCCTGTATTCCTTACCATCTCTTTGTTGGGGGCAGAGACTTCAGCCATTCGGTCCTTCAGATAGTGACAAGCAGCCATGAAGTTTTTATCTACAAATTCACTGCAAGAGCACATTCAACAACTCAACACTGATACATGTCAAACTTTTACAACAACGACCAAAAGTTTTACACATATTTATATGTCTACAGCAGTATTCTTGCAGCCAAACTACCCAATCATGGTAATAAACTTAGATAAGACTGTGAAAGGGTTTATATTATATTTCAAACTTTGTAACTATGTAACTGTTATTGAAAGGGTAAAACACAAGGTCATGCATCCACAAAACAACTCAAGAAAAATTCATTCATTCTCCTAAATACAGATTTACTGTAGACCTAAGCCTACAGAAATCCTCGGTTTGACATCTTATTAGTCAAACAAATAAAGTGTTGGTAAAAATCTTTGGTAACGTTGGCTGAGAGCACCTTATTCAGGACCTGCTCTTCAATCAAGTTGTTACCAACATTTTAAATGACACATGGATTTATTCATCACAACCTGCTGTTCAATCAACACATGCTGAGTTTGACACAGGTCCTTCCTCACGTCATGCCTATTCAGAGCAATGTACTGTGTTTTGGTAATTTTGCTTGATGAGCTTGCTCTCACGGAACAGCCCAGAGAGTTTATCGAGCATGTCACTCAACGTTCTCTGCTTTCAGTCTACGGGCTGAAAAAGGACAAACCTGTGTACTGTAATATGCTGGAACACACAGTTCACAGTTCAACTTTACAGTCGCAGACAGATGTTATGATCTAAATGGATTGTTTTCAAGTTTCATTCAGATGTGCTGACACGTCTACACATAAGATATATTAGTCACCTGAATTATGAGAGAAATGCATTGTCTTCACAGCTATGGGTTTATGTTTATCAAGTGACTGTTTATCAAAACATTTTCTTATTAACATAATTGAAATCACATCCACAAAACATAAAAAAGCAGAACACAATCAGTAGTGTCATAATCAAGGTTAGAGCACTGTGAAGCTTTATCTCTTTTTAAAGTATATCAACTCAGGACTGCATCTATCAATTGGGATGTGTGCATGATAACTATGTTCACAGCTTTGTATGACTCATAACATAGACGCCCCTTTGAGTGTGTGTGTAAGTGCAAATGCTGTAGGGGCAGGAGGGATATATGGGTTACTGCTTACCAGGATTATTGTAGAAACTACAAGTAAAATGACAGACTTTTATACAAAATATGTTTATAAATCTACATATAGATAAATATTATAACCTTGCTTTTTTACTGTACTGTATTTATCCAGATTGTGTTATGAGCTAATGAGTTTTTCACACCATAAATCAGGGGATTGAGTTTCCCTCCTTTCTCTCTTATAGCCTTTCCACATTCATTTAAAGAAGAAGATATGTTGATCCAATTGAATTCACATGGACAGACAGAGAGAAACCTACTATACAGTGAGTTTAAATGCTTTAGGCTATCATGACAGAAAATAATCTACAACTTTGTTCTTATGACACCATTCTGTGCTTGGATTTAAGAAGGATCGAGTGACTTTTAGTCTCTGATGTTCTGTTTTATGGTTGTTGTGGTTTGAGTTGTCCAAGTAAGAGATATCCACTAGTGCAGAAGAGCTAGTCTATATTCAGATTTTAATACCATTATTGTTATAGGTTGGACTAATTGGCCCTCTTATTATACTTCTAAGTTGGACTACCTGGACCTCTTGTTGGACCTCTAAGATTGACCAATTGTATCTCTAATTGGACCTCTAAGTTGGAACAACTGGACCTCTTATTGGACCCCTAAATTAAGCTAATTAAACCTCTTATTAGACATTTAATTGGACCTCCTATTTGACCAGTAAATTGGATTAAATGGACTCTGAAATTGGACCTCTTAGTTAGACAAAATTGGACCTAAGTTGGACCTCTTCTTGGGCCCCTAAGTTGGACTAATTGGACCTCCTACTGGACATTCGAGTTGGATTAACTGGACCTCCTACTGGACATCTAAATTGGATTTTCCATCTTATACACCTGGCCCCTCTGTCTCACCTGACCGGCTGCTCCTCCTGGGGACCAATACTGGCCTCGAGGTCTTTAGGCTCCTCAGAGCACTCAGACCCCTTTGTCTGAGCTTCATCAGCCTGCTCCCCAGCAGCAGCAGCCTCCTCCTGGGCCGCTGCACTCTCTTTCTCCTCTCCCTGCTCCTCCGGCTCGGAGCTATCCACCTCCTCCTCCCTCTCGTCCTCATTCTCCTCCCCACTGGACTCCTCACTGGAAGTCGTCTCATAGCTGGACAACACAGACAGTCTAAGTCATGGAAGTTAATCTTTTAAAACAAACTGGTTATATGTGACCCTGTAATGATCATTATAAAAAACCAGCTACAGAGCAGAGCTACAACTAGTAAGTATAATAATAATAATAATAATAATAATAATAATAATAATAAAGTTGCATGTTTGTCTAAATATTTGTATGCTTTAAAAGCAAATTGACAGATGCTTTCTACTAAAGGAAAGCAAACACAAGCCTGTTGTGAAAGAGTAAATAAAGTGAGCTATGTTAGTGGGTGGAACATCCTGTGAGCGATCCCTGTGAGGCAACTCGTTCATTAATGTCTTCCTGATGATCAGAAATCATGCAACTGTAATAATTAAACAGAGCCATTCCAGATCATAACATCAAATTGGGAAAATGAGAAACGTCATTAATTAGTGACGCATGTTAAAGCTTATGACTAAATAGCAGCAGCCTGTCACATATTTTTAATGCTCAAAATGAGGAGGCTGATTCTGGACAACCGAAAAATGTTATACTTCTGCTCTAATTCATATACATTTGTAAAAATAAAGGGTGCCAAAAAGGGATCCATGGAAGAAACACGTTTGCTTACCTATAAAACCTTTCAACTCAGCTTCTTGAAGATGCATTATTGTAAATGGCATGCAAAAGTCTGAGGAACTTTAATGTTAAAGAGCCTCAATTTAATGTCAATTTTATACCAGTTAAAGGCTTTTCCTAGAACCATACACGTAGGAACTTTTCTTTAAGAATGTCCCTCATTTCCAAGCAAATATGATCTTTTTCATTTGCAATGGTTTGCTAATCAACGAACTCTACATAAGTAAGTTATAAGTATTATCTTCTGGGGATTTCAGAGGAGGCTATTAATCTAATAATCTAATCCATCTTTTAGAAGAGCCTATTAATCTTATTACTGTATTCATCTCTTCCAAAACTCCACAGTCAAAGAGAGAGAATCTCAGACAGACTGAGCTAGAGTTATCTGAGGGAGGCATTGTGTTGTGATGTTTGCTTGTTCAGATCGTTGCTCAAATGTGCTCAAATTCTGAAATCACTGGCTGTCATTTTTAACAACAGCTCCGTCAGCCTACTCTCAGGATAATGATAGCTCATCCTGCATGCGCACAAAAATTCAAATGTCACCACTCTGACATAAATCACTGCAAAAACAGCAGATTTCAACCCACCACCATCTAGTAACTATGCCAACAGAGACAAATAGCTTCAAAGTTCTGTCACTGTCCAGACAAATTCAGTTGTAAGTATACAAGAAACACTGCATGCATATATCAGTCAGTATTAATATTTGAAACTGTTCTCTGCTGACGTAATTACTGCTCTTTGCCTTTGAAGGGCAGCATAGCATGTGATCTTTCCTGCATCATGGGCATCAATACTTCATGTCCAGAAATCTCCATCTCTTCTTCAACAGGCCTAAAGATTTGACAGTCATATTACTATTTAGTTTCAAATCGATACCCTGATGTTATTCATTCTCTTTTAAAGTTGTGAAAAAAAACTCCCCACTAATGCAGTGAGGGGCCTTACAAGGAGATGGGGCTCAGATGACAGAGCCGTTCATATCAGATCAGAGAGCGGGGAGGGCCAACTGTCTGCTCTGCACCATGAGGGCAATTATCTTAGTGCTGAGGGCTGGGCAAACACAGCTGAGGTGGGGCCTCCACCACCGCTAGCCTGCACCCATCACTCCTCACGCGCTCCAGTGCATAGAAAGGACCTTGTTCTCACTGAGGTTTCACCACTTCTCACTCACATCTCATCAACATCACACTAAAATGCCAACAGCAAACAAACCAAACACCTCACGTGCTGTAGTTCTACCTGAGCACTGTGATGACAGATGAGCAGAAAGGGGGACACAGAGCAGAGTTAATTCCACTGATGAAAATAATGACAGTAATCCACCCCAATGACATAGATTCTGGTGACTAATTGCAACACTGACAATAAAGCTGCACTGAGATAAAAGTGATATCTATTTCATTTCAGATTTGCATAGACTAAATATGATTACAGAAAATGCCTAAAAAAGACTGAATTTATCAAAAGTCTGGCAGCATTTTATGTATGAAGCAGCTAGAAATAGGCATAGTAAGTTTCCATTTACTCTGGAGAAGACATGCTTGATGGGTATCTGTACAATCACACCTTTTACAGTCAATTGTAAGCTGTAACTGGCACATCTTTGCCACCAGAATTGTACTCAGAAGCTAACGAATGCTTAGCTGCATGGTTGTACAGTGATTCCATTAGCCTCCTTCATAAAAAGAGCTGTTGTGACAATAGAGCATGAGCTCTCTGGATATTTTGTGCAAGTATATGTAGATGCAACCATATATATTATACAAAAAAGTGCAATGTAATAATATAATGTAATAATATGTTATTATGTAATAATTACATGATAATAACCCTTTAATAATGCATGAAGGAATTAACACTTTTTTCCTAGTTTGACTGCTTAAATAATCCCTAGTAGTGCAGCCTGAAGCCCAGCTACTCACACCTTGTGTGTTGCTATGAATCCGTGATTGTAGCCCTCTTGTTCAAATGAAGCCTTAAAGTAACCCTCAGCAGACTATGCTGGACAGTACTTATGGGAGACCTTTAGATAATTCAATGAGTGGCAAACTAACAAAAGCATTAGCAAAATGGAAAGCCCTCAAGAGCTGCTATTGTAACAAACTCATCAAGAGCAAATAAGAGCAGAGATGCCAGAACAGTTGACTGCATATTGACTGCATATATAATATATATGATACTTATACTCATTAGTCAGAACAAGCAGCCACTGTTGCCACAACTGGATGTCAGTGATGAAAATTGGAAACTGCTTTCACTCAATGGAAAGCACATTATTTTCACATTCAGGTTCTGGTGCACTCTGCGTTCACTTGGTGAAAATAATATTACTAAATCACTGAAAGCAATAAATACACTCTGATAAAGCTTATTTTGTTCAGTGTCAAATTTGAGCAAAAAAGACAAACATGATTATTTTACTTGTTTGACAGCACAACATTTACAAATATATGTACAAAATTAAAGCTTGTGGGCTGCGTCATAACAAAAGGGTTAGCTACAAGATCACAATATTGACCTTTTAAACACTGAAGGCCCCTGGTCACACTTTCTATAACAATATTACATATTAGTTCCATAGTAGTTAAGCTCAATAACAGAGTTTAAGGGCTCAAAACTCTATCCCAATCAAATAGGCTCACACACAAACCTACCCACCAGAGTAACTTTTGGGGTGTCATGGTTTAGTGAAGCACACATAATAAAGACCACAATCAGGTTATGCTTTACCAATACAATCAACAGGTGTCTGAGTACAACAGTGGTGTCAAAGATTTCTGGCTTTCAACTTACTGACTGTAAAAGGCAAAACAGCCTAATAGGTACAATTACAGAGCAGGTGTACCTATTTAAAAGGCTGCTAAGTACATATGTACATAAGGTATACATTTTTGCCAAAATGCATTTTACTGTAGTCATATGATATGACAAAGTAAAATGTATATTAGCTTTAAGACTAAATATGATTTTAAAATTATTGACAGAGAGGAAAGGCAAGAGATGAAAAGACCATGTAATAACGGTTTAGAAGAGGATATTATCAGAGGAAGCAGAACAAATATGATAATTCAACACTTCACATTAAAATACCATCATTAAGGATTTAGGGGACGCAAAACTAACATATAAACCAATTATAAAACTGGACAAGCATTGCTTTGGAATACAATCAATAAGTGATTTTTGCTCTTTCAGAAAACATAAAGTAATCTGTTTGTAGTCCTTTTAGAGATGGTGATCTTATGCAAAGTGTATGAAGCACATCATTTTGCCACAGGCACATAAAAATGCAGAGAGTGCAGAGAGTGCATGGTGAACATAAAATATTTTACCCTCCGTTCACGCCAACAAACTTCAGGTTCTTTTTGACTCCTCCGTTCCCCTGCTTGTCAGGATAGTCATTCTTCTTCATGATGGATTTGAGGCCTAAGGAGAGAGTGGTCAGATGTGGAGCGTTTAGCCAGCCCTGCTCCTGTTCATCCTCCTTACCTAAGATGTGTACATATAAAATAACCTCTACGTTTTGCTACACTATCACTATCATGATTCTTTCACAAGCACACTCCTGCATAATAAGTGTCCTTTGTGAATGACTGCTGTGTCAGAGGGAATATGATTGACGCTTTATAAAACTGTAATGCTTGGTAGGTTTCCAGAGAGTAGCATTCATCCATAATGTAGCAGACCAAACTGCAGCGGCAGCTTCTGCAGAAACAGATCACTAACTAGAAAATGTTGTCAAAATGAGAACAGCGCAGCCTACGCTGAACTAGAAATTTTCTTCAGTAAGGTTCCATAAAGATGTATTAGGATGTGATCTATGTATAGGCTTGAATGTATAGATGTAAAATACTGTGCAGAAGTTAGAGACCCTTCATTTATTTCATTTCAATCAAAACAGCCATTAAGAATATGTGTTTCATTGTCAAAAATTCAGAAAATATCAACATTTTCAGGACACTTTTTAATAGTTTTTCAAAAATCTGCAAGGATATTCTTCCACGCCTTTAAAGTTCAGTCTTAGAAGTTTTTTTTTGCTTCTCACAATCCAATTGATCCCAAACACATTCAATGATGTTGAGGTCTGGACTCTGAGGTGGGCAGTTCATTGTTCTGAGAACACAAGCAGCTTCTTTGCTTGATTAGCAAATTCTCTTCTTTTATGTCTTTTTCCTTTTCTCAGTAACAGCTTCACGACAGCTACACATCTTTTTGATCTATTGTATTGAGTTGTCTCACAGTGATGGACAGAAGTTGTGGTCTAGCAGGTCTTGCATGGTTGTTAGGAGTCCTATTATCTCTCTATATTTATATATATATATATATATATATATATATATATATATATATATAACCCAGAAGGATAAGCGGCTTAGAAAATGTGTGTGTGTGTGTGTGTGTGTGTATGTATCTCTATATATAATTTTTTGAACTCCAGTTTTGGAAACTCCTGTTATTTCACTTACTTTCCTTTGACTTTCTTATAAAATTTGCTAATCTCCTGAAAAACTAATAACTTGTCTTTAATGGCTGCTTTCACTGAAAATGAAATAAATGAAGGGTGGTCTCTGACACTGTATCATAGATTTTTTCTTGCTGTTGTTGATCATTTCTCTTTATTCTCATGTAGAAAATCAGGATTCCTGTCTTGCATATAGGCCCACAAGACATTCCTCAGCCTCTGGGTGAAATTATGACTCAACACTACCCAACAGACAGTTTGGACAGCATCTCTGAGCTGGGAAACAATTGACTAACTCCCGCATGACAGTCTGTGTGCATTCCGCAGGACATAATGAGTTCAATTTGTATAACAATATTAGAGCATTAATAAAACTAGATGCTCTTATGCAACCATGAATTATGCTACTAAGTGGAATATACAATTCACTGTGGAGAAATGAATAGAGAGGGCTTGAAGAGGAAAGTGGAATGATTGTGACTGCACATATGTAAGCATATGCCAATATTTACTAAACCACAACATTTTGTAAGCACTGTAATTTGAGCCAGATGCTTCGAGAAATGTCAACATGTTCTTGCAAACAATTCTGGCATACAGTACGTGCAACCTTCATCAACAATGCTGTAGTATCTCATGGTCTTTGCATAGTTAACTGAAAGACAACTGTTTTAGATCTCAAATCCCTGAAACAGAGAAAACACGAACATTTGTTCTTTGCACAAAGCCAGTACAATACAGTAGTTAACTTCAGAACTGTTTTTTCAGATGGCAATTGGCAATTGGTCAGATTCTTTCACTGTAGTGCTTCAAACAGGCAGCCAGTACAATAAAATTCCTCTGATCTTCTCCCCGCATAACACAAATCTTCACAGAGAGACTGCTGTACACCTCCCAGAGACTGCCAAATATACCTGCTGTAAATCTCACCTAAGGCATGATTGGTATTAGGAAATTTCAAGCACCTTATCTATCACCATCATAAGCACAGAATAGAGATTATTTCAGCCTTCTCTTAGCTAGCAGCCTAAAAAATAGGAGGAAAATCATGGTCATTAAAAACAACTTTGTCTTGTCATCTATATCAGTAGTCACCCAACACTTGGGATTTTATTTCAAGTCATTTTGGACCAATGGTAGTGGTATGATTTAGCCTAATAGGCCTAGGCCCACCCATCTATGCTCCAAAATGACCACACAAATGTACTTTCAATATTAAAGCGACACTATATAGGTTTTGACCTCTCTGGTGGAAATGTCTAATTGCATGCAATGTGCAGAAGGACATCCTATAACGTTGGTTGCGCTATGGATCCCTTCCTGATCGGATGAATCTGATGAAAGAGTGCATTGAAAGAATATTCAAAGAGAACTAGGTGAAGGAGGTGTCTTCCAAGGATGTGAGTAAATTATTTACTACTGTCATTATATCTTCATCTGAATAATGTTGATTTTGCATTTGAGATCTAATCTGTTCAGCTAGACCTTCTTTTTAAGCCTGTGCATGTGACGTCAATACATAAAGATGTTTGATGTGGTCCAAAAAACTCCCATGAAATCTGATTTGACCCATCTGACTTTTAACTTACTATTTCAGGCTTTACAAGGTGACTCACAGCACACACACTATATTTAAGCATATTTTTTCTCCTGACTCAATAATGTTACTTCTGTCAATATTCGATTTTCAAATTCGTATACAGTACAACACTAAAATCATATTAAGAAATAAACCAATGCCACAAATTTAAAAGGAACTCGCTAAATATGCAATATATACTAAATTTTGTTATTGATATAGACCAAACAAAATTCCAGTTTAAACAAAAAACAAAGCCCTGGGGCATTTGCTAAGCGTTTAAACCTTGGAATAAAACAAACCTCATCACAGAAAGGAAAATAAAACCATATTCCAAGACCATTACAACCTTAATTGGAAACACATTTCATAAGTACAATAATAACTACAAACACACATCCAACTTTAAAAGTGGTTCACTAAAACCCTAAATGTAAGAATAACAGAGACAAATTGTGAGCATGTAAAAGTTATGTTGGGCAATTATTGCCTCGGCATGCAAAGTCTGCTTTTTCATGTTATGAGATGTTTCTCAGTTTCAGGTGCACAGCAGACATCTCATAGTAATGGTTAAGTGACTACTCTTTTGTAGACACTAGCTGCAGGGAGTGAAATTCAAGGTTCTGCCTGCCCAAGAATTTGAATTTATCTGTTTTGGACCACTTCTATCGGTTTATTCATCATGAAATATTTATGATGAATATTTATGACAGATAGTTTTTCAAATGGTGTAAAAAACAAAAACAAAAGCAAAATACAGAGTTCTAAGGTTTTATATGACAGCGACAATGTGTGAGTATGTATGAGTGAACGGAATTGGACATTTACCTGATTGTTTTGCTGCACCTCCTTTTTGAACAGGAGAATAGAAGGCTGAGAGGGCGCTGAGAGAGCCTCTGAGATGACTCTGGATGGAGCTGATCTTTGAGACCGGCTGTTTCTGCGAGCCCTCTCCTTTTCCTTCTTGGTTCCCACTGCCCAGGCTGGCCCACTGCTCATTAAGAAGCCCCTGGATACGATTGACAACCTGGCCTATGGCTGCAGGTGATGTTGCAGGTTCAGTGGGCCGCTGAGGCTGAGGCGGGGGCTGAGGCTGAGGCTGGGGCTGAGGCTGAGTGTCTTGTCCTCCCACTTGCTTTTGGTCTTGCTGAGATTGTCCTGTGCTTGTATCTACTTTGGAGCTTTCCATTACCACACTTTCAACATTCATACTCTCCGCCAGCTCATTTTCCATGGACTTGACAACTATATTCTCCTTGGCTAGTGTCTCATCTATATAACTTTCAGTCTTTTCTACTATAACATACTCTTCGGCCACATCGCTTTCAATGATGATGCTTTCACTGAGTTTTTCTTGGACCATATTTTCTTTGTCTGTGCTGGATCTCACATCAATGGTCTGCCCATCTGTTTCTGGCTCAGATGTATTTACATGCACATTATCACTAGGACTGAATGGGACATCAGTCTCAACAGCCTGGTCACACACAGCAACTTCCACCCCCACGACTTTCTCAGCTGTCATCACCTGTGCTGACACCTCGATATCTCGCATCTGGATTGTAGTTGTTTGAGTGCTAGAGCACGTTAGGTCTGTCTGTTTGGGGCCATCGTCAGGTTGAACTTCAGTATCTGTCAACACTGCCTTTTCAAAGACAATTTTGCTATCTGTACTGATAGATGCATCACACATAACAATGCGTTCAGGAAGTTGCACAGGCTCCAGCGGAACAGTTGTCTCCTGCTCTACGCTGACAGCAAGAGACTCCTTAACTTTTTGACTTAGTTCTTGAATCATTACATCCTTTAATCTGTTCTCCTCTATCTGCACGCTCAGTAAAGAATTTGTCCTTTCTAGCTCACAGCCGGCCTGGCTTAATCTGTCCTCCAAAGTCTTGACTTTGACTTGCAGTTCTTGGATACTGAGAGACTCTTGTTCTGTAGTGGAGATCCATTTTTCTTTTGCTACATCTGATCCTTCAACAGCCTCTGCTTTCTCAGTTTCCTCTTGGGACGCTGTGTGTTCAGATGTATCTCCTTGTTCTTCTAATAGCTCTGACTGTTTATCTTCTGCAGAAGTGACTAGTGTTTCCTCTTGCTTTTCCTGTTCTTGTTCTGGATGCCTCTCTGGTATTTCAGCCTCATGTTCAGATTCTTCCAACTGCTTCTCTGATTCTTCCGAATCAGTAGGGCTCTCAGCTTTTTCTATAAGGATCACAGGGACAGAGACCACAGCTGGTATGGGTTCTTCTCTTAATACTGTTGGTTTTGCGGCTTCCTGCCCTGCAAGGTCTTGTGCCACTAAGTCTTGCCCTTCTGCCTGTGGTTCTGCAGTTGACTCGGCTACTGGTATTTCAGGTTTACTGTCAGCTACATTGTCCTGGCAAAGGGATGGAGCTTCTTGCTGCTGTGTTGCTACAGGAATGTCAGTGCTATCTTGGGAGTCAGGTTGGGTTTTTTCATTTGGCTCTACCTTTCTCTCAGACTGTGCTTGAATCCTTTGAAGCAGTTGTTCTCTCTCCTCTCTCAGCGAACAAATCTGAGCCTTCAGTTCAGGTATGGTCCTGACCTGCTCTTCCAGCTCACGGACCCGTTTCAGTGCTGCTGTTATCTGTTGATGCAGGCTGGCCCTGTCCTGAGGAACGCTTCCTCTTCTGTCGCTACCATCCACAGGACGAAACAGTCTCTCAGTTGAGCCATTCTGGGATTGAGGGCTCTGCTCATCAGCAGACTCTGAGGCTTTCCTGTGAGGGACGTTAACAGGCATGCTGGATGCCCGGAACAAGTGTGGCCTCACATTAAGGCCCAGTTGCTGTTCTTTGTATGAAGTCTGAACATGGACCTCATCTGCAGGTTTGGGGGACGAGAGGTAGCCACCGCTTTGGACCTTGGAGTGACCGGCGGTAGAGCTTCCACTGCTACTGCCAGCACTGCCATCACTTGCTCTGAAATCAAAAAGTTGCTGGACCTCAGTAACACGTGATTTAGGCTTGGACCCCAGGGTGGAAGTGTTGGCCCATGTGTCTTTGGCAGCAGGTCTTGCACCATGTCCAGGAAGGCTGAAGTTGCGTGGCAGTGTGCTATACTTTGGACCTCTGTTCTTTCGCTGTATGTGCACTCTCTTGATGGTGTTGCCCTTCTCGATGTCATCTACATATTTTAAGAAGTCCAGATCAAGGTGGAAGCCGTAAGGTGTCTCCACAGAATAGGGCAGCTGTTTCCTCTGTCCTCCACTTTCAGAAGCTTTGGAGGGAAAGCCATTTGCTGCAACACAAATCAACCAGATTAAACATTTGCTGCCTGTCATCTGGATACATACAAACTGCACTGAACATATGGGGTTTTTAAATAAAACAAAAACGAAGCTGAAGATCTTATAAAAAATGGATCTGGATGTCATTAAATGTGAACAGTTTTGTTCTGTCAGCTCATGCATGTTTAGGGGATGGAAAATTTTGAAGATGTGAAAATTACTACACTTATACAATAGAAGAATCAGCAAAAAAAGCTTTATTTACCACTTTTCTTGTCCATCATTTGTATTTTTCAGTGTCATGGACTCTATGTTGTCTGTGTTCTAAATGCTGGCAGGCTGTGAACAGAAAAACATATGTCATCACAAATTTACATACATTTGACCATCAAAATCCTGCAGAGCACTATTTAAATCATGTTAATAGCTTTAAAATAAGAGGAAAGGCTTTGAAGTTTAAATATATGAGCTAACATGTATGTTTTCCAGATTTCTAGGACTCATACTGTCCTTTAAAAAGAATGCTGCCTCTCAAAGGCCATAAATACACTACAACACTGAGCAAATCAATGACACCTACTTAGAGAAAGACCATTAGGGTGCAACTCAGTTTTATTTATCCCAGATGGGGATGGCAAGAAACTACCTCACAATTCATACTTGAGTGAAACAGGCAATGGAAAACAATTCACAGATATTTAAAGTTTCTTATTCACAAATAATATTAATTGCTTACATCCTCTAGATTCTATTCTGTTCTGCATGCATTGCCAGAAATTGGTGCATAATGACTGAAGTGACCTTACATTAAATGTGGAAAACTGTCACATTAGGCATGCGAAGTGTATGCAAATGAGATCTGTTACAGAAGGAAATCTGTAGCTTTGTATTGGTTATGAAGTGAATAGCAAAAGACCGAAGACGTCTGCTGCTTTTCAGACGCATGCATTTCTCAAGCAACAGATTGCTCTCAGTGAGATTCCTGCTGAATTATCAAATCATCTCAGCTCGTGAAAACTGTGTAACTGATAACAGAAAGTGCACTGTAATTATTAATGTTGGATGTAGTGTTGACAGCCGATCCATTAGGGCCCTGAAGATGCAATTATTTTGTCTAATGAAATATGAACCCTCAACAAGTAAAGATAATCTCTTTTAGAAAGGCAGCTTCAGAGTAACCACGGTGAAAATCCTGAGGGCATGTTTGTGAATCTTAACTACCTCCTGTGCTCACGAGAGAGAGATTCAGCCAGATGTGGCATATGGGACTGATTTTGATCTTGCAATCTGGGCCAGAGGCTTGGAATTCGGACTAAGGAAGGTTTGAGCATTTTCGGGAAAGAGATTTTCTTCAAAGGTGTGGGACAAAAGTGACTCTAGAAAGTGGATCACGGGATAGTGGCTGGAGGTCCTGACCTAGAGGCACTGGCGTAAATATGAAATAGCAGTGGCCTGTTACATTCTTCAAATTATGCAATACTTGTGACCCACACAATATAGCTTTCAGACGGAGACAATTACTTCTCTCAATCCGTTACTGAGAAAGCTGCCTTTGGGAGCAAACAAACTCTGCTTGTGAGTGTGGGATGGACTTTAGAGTGCACAAAGAGAGAGAAAATATGCTTTGGTTGCTTTTTAGAAATGGGCACTATGCCATGGTTCAGTGGAGAGCCCAAACACAGCAGGAGCAAAAGCTGCATTACAGAATGGCAGTCCGGCGGTGTGGACCAGGTCATCAATCAAACCACTGGAGAGCCCAAAATAACATAACATTCTTGCACTACAACACTGTAGAAAAATTTGATGAGATTCCAAATAAGCTGCCAATTGTAGATTAAAGAAAGAGAAACACGACAAAAATACTTCAAATCTAAAAGAATAATATTCCAAACATGTAAAAGAATAATATCCTAAGGTGGCTGAGCATGCATCATGTCCAACAGTTAGAATCTTAAATTTATGATGCTTTGATAGGAAACGCTTTGAAATTCAAAGGGAATTCCACCTCTGTGGGGAATGGTTCACAGTGTTGGTGATAGGAACCAGACAGCTTCCAAACTGGTGAATACTGACGCCTGAGACATTGTTTTACAATATTTTTAACTAAAGTTTCAGCCCAAAACATATGTTTTTTTCTAATCTATTCATGGCGAAAATGTATAGGCAGGTCACTGTGAATAAAACAGTCCTCGGTGAAAAGATAAAAGCGCAGAAGACAAGTGTAGCTTCACTGTTTGTACTCTGTAGTAAATAAAATGGCTATAATTGGGTTGTAGACTGTAGTTGTAGATTGTAACCTATAGTTCCACTTCACGTTAAACTACCGTGAATGACCCTTAAGTTTTGAAAAATCGATGGAATTTCCCCTTAACGTGGCAGGTGAATATGAAAGTACACCTTTCCTGTTCATTTCACACGATGAATTCTAGTCAGAATGCAACCTATAAAAGTAGCCTTTTATAATTAGAGTCCTCAGCTTATAAACAGTCTGTGTTCATTCTTATGACGCTGCTGGAGGCAAACTCCAGAACAGTGTGATTCTGAGCTTGACTGACGGCTGAATCCTCAAAATCCGACACACTGCAGCAAGCACAGAAAATATACAGCTTCTTAACTCCTTGTGGGGGGTGCAGGAACAAGGAAGCGAAGGGAAGGGATCAGGGGCATTCCCTGCCCTGCAAACACTTAATGCCACACAAATACACTGCCTGTCCTTGAGTCTTCATTAGCCGAAGCTGGAACGCTTGTAATTGCTGACTAAAGTGAAGTTGCCCCCCCAGACAATTATTCGCATGGAACCAAGCACCAAAGCGCAGTTTGTTTAATTAGATACTGAGAGAGAGAGAGAGAGAGAGTGAGAGAGAGGGACAAAGAAAAGAGTGAGAGAGAGAGAGAGAGAGAGAGAATATAGCAGGTCAATACGAGTCAGAGGGGAAATACCCTAATGAAGAGGCCTGTATATTACCTTCCGTCAACTTTACATGGAACAAGACATTTTACTTCATCAAGTGCAATAAAATGACTACAGCTACCCAAAGCTAGACTGCATACAATCTTTATTATGCAGTGGCTAACATTTATCTCTGTGGACCACCTAAATTTGAGCTCTAATTGAACGTCACTGTTTATTTTGTAATTCGGCATGGATGAAATTAAATTAAACTAATCAAATAACAGAGGAAGTGAGGGAAGAAGGAATTTGATTTGCAAGGCTGTGACTGCATAGATGTCTCAGACATACACACACACACACACCTGCAGGCAGGTCTACAGGCTCAGCAGCTGCACCAGTGACCACCGATGAGTTCTGCTGAATTGTCGGGAAGAAACAGATCCATACAGAGCTGCAAGCAGAAGCAGAAATGGCAACTCTAGAATGCCTGCTGCTATCAGTGTTTACCTTACTGTGACCCTGACACTGACATATCTGCTCTGAACACACACACAAGGTTGTGTTATTCCCAGACCAATTGAAAAATGCTTATACTCTGCTGTTGTGCAACTGAACCTCAAATACATTTCACATTAACAATGTTATAAACACTGAACAGTATTTCTTGGACACTTCATTTAGCATCTAGATTTCACCTTTTATACAATTTTAAACCCATTAAACATTCAATAATACAATCGATGATTGTAACCACCTCTTTTATTTATTTCAGTCCTTAATTCAATTCAGTTAAATCCAACGTATTTACTGTCAGAAGAACTCTGATGGAATATTTATTGAGTTTGACATCTACTGTAAGGTGCCAGTTTATTAGGTACATTTACAGACACTTTGGGGGGCCGGGGATCAAAGGGAAACATGGCAAAATGAATGTGAATTAATCTTAATTTAATTTATAGCTTATTGCAAGAACTCTTACCAATTGGGACTGTGTGATCATGCTTCAGAGGACACCAAATGTAGAGTTTTTCTGAAAGCTATATGCCCACACAAAATTTTAAACCACAATCTCAAGCATGCAAGTCTGCAACATTACCCACTATGCTATCTAATAGCTGTGATTGCCTTGCAACTCTATTTAAGAGCTCCACATAGCCTTGCACAAATTCATTTTTATATTTGCAAAGGCGGTTTAGCAAGTTATTAGTACCCCTTACTGCCATTTGACTGAAAATTATGACACAGTGTAATGTGATGCTGGATGATCAGTGTTTTATTGGCTGGATTTCCCGTGCAGATGTGATGCATGTGTCCACAACAGGTCAGAGTTCCTGAGTAGCAGGGCTGTTTGATTCCAGAAATTTTGGAGTTGATTCTGATTCCTTTTCCAAGTGATGGGAATCGAAGGTATCAATGAGACAAAGCCCAAAGAGTGTGGAGCTGACATAACTACGATTGGGAACGCTGGTATAAAGAGTGATAGCATGATAAAATATTTACACTGTGTGTGTGCAGATGCAAGCAAACTTCAACATCTATGAGTGGAATCAAGTCCAAAGCTTTGGAGTCAACTCTCAAATCCAGAATGCCTGAAATCAAGGTACTGATTCTTTTTGGGATCGACTCCTGGCCCTACTGATGGGAAATCTCAGACATTGATACTGCACCAGAGGGGGCACCCAAGAGCAATAAAGCTTTGTGGATCCCGAGGAGACCCAAAAGCACTTTTCCCAGGGCAATGCTGAGCTGACCCTCATTGACTCAGAACTTGAAGAATGGTGATTGTTATATATGCTGACTAAGAGAGCACTTGTGAGGACCAAAGGGCAGGGGCACCACCCAAATAAAATCTGGTCAGTGGTGGTCTTATGGTGGTCCCTTTCCACTGGATGGGGTAGAGGGTGGCTGATAAATTGTGCATGAGTTGGGCTACAGTCAGCAATTGTAAACCTACAAAGGGCACCTACAGGGGGTTGTTTCTAATAAAATGGCCAATGATTGTAGATACAGTATCTAATAAACTGGCAACTCAGTGTATCATATGTTAAATAAACATGAGAATATGGTAGGCAAAGAATACAGAATGAACTGTCCAGAAACTGGCTAACATTTAAGGCAGGGATTTGGCAGTCAAGCTAGTATGTAGTGCCTCCTTCTCTCTCTCTCCCTCTCTCTTTTTTTCTTCCACTCTTCCTATCTAATAATGACAATAAACAGGCAGAGAGTGGGCTGTATGGTAGGAAGTGACCGCTCACCAATCTTGTCCTCCCTGATGGATCTAACTACTGCACAGGGCTGCAGACATCTGGAGGAGGGAGATGAACACAGAGCATCTGTTCTTCAGAGATGAGAAGAGTCCTGGAAAACATGAGGGAGGTAGGACCACCAGGGAGACACTGTATAATTAATGAGACACACAGTACATATATGTGAAATACATGTGAATAAACAGTGCTGTGCAAAAGTCCCTTAAGCAAATTATTTACAACCATTTATCTTGGGAAAATTGTCTGCCTTTTACCAGCAAAAACACAAGGTATCTTTAGAATAGATGCAAATAACCATAAATAAGGTAAAAAGTAACAAGATTTTTATATTTTGAAAAAAGTAACTGATATCTTGAGCTAGTTTCAAGAACAAAGTTTGCTGGACTCCCTCAGTCATTGCATGGGTCTGTTAAATTACATCACCAGCACACTTGATTTAACATAATGAAGCACCGATTAGCCAAACCAGGTACTGGATGATGACTACAAATAATACAGGGCTGACACAAAAAGAGTTTTGGAAAAAAATAAAATCTTAGATAAACAGCTTTTTTATTCTTATTTTCTCAGGTGTCTAAACTTTTGCACAGTACTGTATATTGTACATGGAACAGTAACATGCAGACATCTACGCACTCAGATGCTCAATCACATCCCTCCATGCACACAATTCAGCTGTATTAGAAACAGGGGAGAGAGAGCCCACGGCACTAAGATTGTGCACAAGCTTTCATTAGACATGTGAGGCGACTGGCTATAAATTATTTAGTCTAGCCCCGTAGCTAATGCTGCTCCAGCACCAACAGGAAAAAAATAACCAGCAATGACTTCCCGTTAGTTCTCCATGGATTTGAGGGAGGGAGGGGAAGAGAGAGAGAGAGGGAGAGAGAGAGTGAGAGATCGAAGGAATATATCTGGTTAATTAGCGCAGGAGGCTAGCAGCACGTGTGAAGTCTGGGCCACATTTCCGAGGTGTCTCTTCAGGGGAAAAGGAAGAGAGCAAAGTAAGGAGGGATGCTCCGTGATGACAGGAGGGGTGACAGCAGTTGGGGCTAGGGGGTGGAGGAGAGCTAGCGCTAGTGAGTGACAGCAAAGCGCTTGCTGTGTGCGTGTGGATCAATTACTGCACTGTCACGTCTCGTGAGATTGACAAGATCCAACAGAAGTGAAACACACACACCCAGATTCTGATTGAGATAGCAATTACATACTAATATTAGTATTCATGCTCAAGTGCAAATGTGCAGCGCCCTGGCTTGGAATGACACGCACCGCGTAAAGAAAAACAAACACACCCTGCACCTGTAAGTGCTATTCAGATGTGATTCGTTTTACACAGAACAAAAGAACATGTAAGCATTTCTCAGTGATTTTATCCCTGTCTGAATAAACTATGTCAGTCATTTTTTACAAAGTTTTTAACTACTATAAAATGCACCACTGAAATAACCCGATCCAGTGTGAGTTGCCATACTGGTAAAAAAAAAAAAATGCTATTATGTCCTTTTCTTAAGAATGAAGGCACTTGAAGAACCATTTTCTCACATTCTCATTCTCAAATCAGGCCCTACCTCAGGTGTACGACTCATTAAAACATGTAAAATGCCAGAAAAAAAGGTTTGATTTGATGTGTCACTGTTGGCTGTAAATTCCCAAGCTAATAACAACACTAATGTCACACTGCATTCACTTAAGACAGCAAGGCAGGCGCTTAGGGTAAATAAAATAACAGCTAAATGTTTTTACATTTAGGCAAGGTGTGAACTGAGCAGCCACTCCCATCTCTGCAAATCATACCAATATCCCATGTAAATCGGTAATAAACATTACAGTCTTGTAGTAAAATTACATTAATCCACGTCGGCATGGAAAACCAATTCTGTTGTAATAGTACAATAGAGTAGTGGTCCTCAAACTGGTCCTCAGGGTCCCCACAGTCCAGCCCAACTTGCAACACTTGGGCCGTGCAAAAATTTGGACTGTCTGGAGTTCCCAGATGACCAGTTTCAGAATGTATTACAGATTAAAAAAATCCTAAATCAGTGGTTCCTATCCTATTCCTTGAGAACCCCCTGCCCAAACATGCCCATTTCAACTCTGGAGGTGTTTGTTAATTAGCAGACTAGTTGGGTCAGGTGTGTTTGGCACGGGGCAAACATTAAAATGTGCAGGGCAGGTGGTCCTCCAGGACCAGGGTTGGGAACCACTAACCTAAATGATGCTATACCCCTCTGCGTTCATGTAACTGTATCTCCACCACAGTCCGCAGATCAAGGCTGAACAATCCATCATTTAATTAGGCTTGTGAGAGTATGTGCAATATACCATCTTCCAAGTGCTCCCAAGTCATGACCGACTGACATGATGGTAGTATTGTGGAGGGCACGTGGTGCCGGGCAAGCAAGCAAGGGGGGGCGCCGGAGCACTTTTTCGGTGCACATACAAGAAACATGCCACAAACACTGTCTGACAGGCTGCTGATTTTGAAGCCATAACCTATTTCAGCACAGCAAGTAATGCGGTAACGTTACAGAGCAGATTGCTTAAACCAAGAAAATAAAATGCTCATTTCTTTTCAGTAACTTGCAAAGCTAAATTTATTCTATTTTTGTCTGGTATGATTTGGAAAAATCACACTTTTACCACCTATAAACCACTTCTTGTTTAAATGGCTAAAGCTTACTGTTCATGTTTCAGGAAAGAAAACATTCCGTGTGGAAGGCTGCAGCACGGCTTTATCTGTTTGGCAAACACAACCACAGTACAAAAAAAAATGCTGCCTCGTGCTGCTACAGGATGTTTTGAAGCCAGACAACATTTCAGGACTGATCTGGACATAGACTACACATTAAAATAAGACATAGATTATGAGGCACACATGCTTTCCTTTTGTGTCAACAAGTTGACATTTAAATCGTCCAGCTTGAAAACCATTACGACAGATACAATCTATCAGCGATTCTTGATACTAATGTCAGTCGATTTAAGTCCATCATTTATCAATACTGACTTTAATACTGATATCACTGACAGCTGCAATATGCATAATATAATCTAATATCTAAATGTAATGTTAATAATGTTTTTTTATTTTGTGGTGTGGCATGTGGAGTATCTTCACCACTCATAATCCAGGATGAGTGTTTCTGTAGGTGTTCTGATGAATGAAGGTAGCCAAGTAACCCACAAAAACGTGAACTATTTTAGTATAATGGTCTAATAATGTCACATTACTGATTCACCAATTTGTTTTAAAACATGATGCAAGATGTTCCGCAATTGATATATGTAGTAGTATAATCACAATCTTAGTATCAGTCTTTATCATGCAGCCCTACTGCACAAGCACACAAACACACACACTAAAGATGGCACAACACTTTTTATTTTCCATTACCAACATTAAAACCTTGAGTACTGATACTGATATAATATTTCTTCTTTAAAACCTACTAAGCGATTTTAAACATTTCTCTTAACCTGAGCATCTAAAAGTAGATTATTATACTGAGACTACTCAAACACTCTACTACCTCACAGGAAGAAACGCACATCATCATATTACACAATGTGACTGTGTGCTATTTTAAGGCCCAGCAGATATACTGGTTAGCCCGTGATACCACCCATGGTATTATCGGCATGCCAATAATTAGAGCCTTTTTTTGGTCGTGGCACTGCAAAGGATTTAAGCTCACAATCTCCTAATGATAAGGCAAAACACTAGAAAGATCATTATGAGCCATTTTCTGTTTAACTATCTGACAGCAACACAGGCTGGTAAATCACACAAAACACCGTCATGCTTAGTATTACAAAATCATATGAAACGCATCCAAACCTAACCTCATAACACAAAACCACTCTTTTTATAAAAAAAAACTAATGAAAAACAAGGATAATAAGTGGTGATAAACAGATACCAAAAGTGCAAAAACAGTGCTACAATATGTTTTTTAAGACTGTGAGTTTCTGTTGTTGAATTGATTTTAAGTAGAGGGATAATAGAGAACTGAGAATCTGTCACAGCACTGTTTAACTAAAATGACTGGAGTATAAAATTCAAAATGTAAAATCTAAATACAAAGTTATATCAGCCAATATTATCGGTTATTGGAAAATTTTGCCCCCTTAAATCAGTATCAGAATACGCCACAAAATTTTCAAATCAGTTGTGCCTCAGGTTTATCAGGCTAGATATGTTATAGAATTGAATCGGATTCAGTCTAATACTCCCCTCTGACATCCAATCCAGCATTTTCTGCTGATATCTGTCCGATACCGATATCCACTGATACTGCTATGCCATTTCTGATATACTAGCATAGACACACAAACAGCTACCGGTAAGTACTCAAGTTAAGCACCGAATGATAGGGAAGCGCCTGAGTATGAGAGTGAATGAAAGTCTGCATAGTAACAACAGCAGCCTACAGTGCTTCACTGCCACAGTGATAAAGCTACAGCACTATAGAGCAAAGAAAAAAAAGCCAGAAATCAATCAGCGCTCCGCTATACATTCACATACTGACAGTTACAATGCATACATGGTAAATGCAAAAACTGTACCACAAATGTGTATATATACACAGTAGATATGAAAAAATCTCCTTAGCATACATACTCTCTCACACACACACAAACACATGCACACACAGGGGAAATGAGCTGGCCGGCTGCCAGAGAGAATCGACGCCGCCGATCTAGCTGAAGAAAAAAAAGCCTGTCCGTTATTTCTGCACTGCAAACAGCAGCAACGGAAGCAGAAGCAAAACAAGCGGGCAGCACTGGAGCAGCAGCACGAGCATCACACACACACAGCTCTCACCTGGGATGTAATGCAACCTGCTATCCATGTGAGGGAGTGAGAGCACGAGAGCAATATAGAGGGAGAGAAAGAGAGAGAGAGAGGGAGGGAGCAAGCAAAAGCATGAGAGAGAGGGAGTGAGAGAGAGAGTGATGGGAATTCTCTCACCTGGTGTGTGTGGCAACCATTCATCTGCTCTCCTCTCATCCTCGCTTTCGTCAGCTGCTTCTCTCCTTCCTTACGATTTCAAACCTGACCATACAGGAAAGGAAAGAACAAAAAAAACGCAGAATGAAATGGTGAGGTAACATTGCCATGGAATGAAAGCAAAGAAGAGAGACAGGAAAACATAAAGAGAGAGAGACTGAGATAGAGAGAGAAAAGAAAGACAGAAAGAAGAGCATCAGAGAGAATATGAGAGAGATAGAGATGGAGAGAGCGAGTGAGAAAAGCAGAGAGAGAGAGAGAAGGATAGCGCAATGGGGAGAGGGGAGGGAGTTAAGAGTAAGACAGAGAGAGAAAAGAAAGGGAGAAAGAAAGATCAGAGAGTGATATAGATAGAGAAGGAGAGCAAGAGAGAGAGGAAGCAAGCAAGAGAGAAGGTGAGAGAGAGAGCTAGAGAAAGAGAAATGAAAGAGAAAGAATACACAATAAGAGTAATGATAGAGAGAACAGACAGAAATACAGATAGAGAAAGCTAGAGAAAGAGAAAAAAGAGAGCGAAAGGAAAAGAGCGAGAGAGAGCAAGCAAGAGTGAGACGGGGGAGAAAAAGAGGAAAGAGAAGGCGAGTGAGAGAAGGAAGATGAAAATGAGCAAGAAAAAGAGAATGACAGAAAGAGAGAGAGATACAGAAAGAGAAGGAGAGTGAGTGAGACAGCAAGAGAAAAGGAGAGAGAGTGAGACAGCAAGAAAAAAGGAGAGAGAGAGAGAGAGAGAGAGAGAGAGAGAGAGAGAGAGAGAAGAGAGAGGCTTATGGATAATACAGATAGCCACAGCTGGGTACACTGGCTGAAAAGGATGAGAGAAAAAAATGAACATAATAATATTAAAATTAACATCCTATTACACAAGAAAGATGAGAAAATACCGCACACACTCTTTGGAAAGCTCACTCCACTGTTGTAATCTCACCCCAACTCCCCCCACTTACACACATACATACACAGACTGAGAGTTAAACTCACTCGTGGAGCTGCCTCAGATGAAATGACCCAGTGAAAAGGTGATCTCTCTCACTCTGCCTCTTTCTCTCCTCTAGACCTTGTAAATATGACTGAACTTTGAGTGAACTCCCTCTACTCAACAGTGTAATCATTAGTGTTGGGTGGTGGTCAATAATTAACTGTGTTACGATAGGTCCCCTTTCCACACACGCAGTCTTACCCGCCCCCCCCAACACTAACTCCTCAGCCAAAGGCTTCAGGCATTTAGCCTTCTATCATCATTGTGTGTGTGTGTGTGTGTGAGCAGCATGAATCTATTTACATCAGCTCGCTTGACTAAACTTCATGATCAGTTTAAACACAGCTGAGTACATAATTCACATATTGTACACACCACATTATATACTTATATACATATATTTCACTGTATTTGACTATACATAATATTTCAATCATTTATGTATGTACCATTTAAAGATTTAAACTTTAAACACAGTTGTGTAAATACTACACTGTATATAATTACATAAACATATTTGAGTTTCAATCATTTCAATTTATTTTTAGCATCAAACAGGACAGTGCATAAGAGACCATCCTTCATTTATTTAATTTCCATTCAACATTCCCAATAAGTGCAAGTTATTAATTTCATATTCAGGAGATATTTTTGAGGTGATCAGATATAAGATAATCTTGTGTTAGAAAGAGAGGGAACCAAAGCAAAATAAGTGAAAAAAACAGGAGTTCAAAAACATGAAAAGAGAAAATGAGACTCTTAACAACCATGTGAGATCTAGTAGACCACCAAAACTGTCACCATCAGATAAACAGTTTAAGTTTTCATCCCTTAGAGATGAACATTTTTGCTTTCGCTTTCAGCTGCACTGAAAAAATCCACAGGTGTTTCTGTGCCTCCTTCCACTGTAAGAAGACAACTCAACCTTATGAGTCCGAAAGGATGTGTAACACACAAGAAACTGTTGCAGAGGACAGAAAACAGATAAAAGAAGAACAATTGCAAATTAAGAAACTTCTGGTGTTTTCAGAAGACCGGAGTGTCCTCCCCAAAGTCCAGATCTCAACATCAATGAATGTGTTTGGGATCACTTGGATCATGAAAAGCAGAAAATCTATCCAATGTCTAAGACTAAACTTTGGAGGTATGGAAAAAATCCCTGCAGGGTTCTTAAAAAAAAACTGAAAGCAAGTCCTGAAAAGAATGGAAGCTGTAATGAAAGCACAGAGTGGACACACTAAATACTGAAAATTCTGATATTATATTTAGTTGTTGACGCCGCTGTGTAATCTTCTATTAGATGCATGTGTTCTGCTTGTATTCTGCATGTCTTCTTGAAGAACTTGTACCTAACTGCTTTTTACCTGGAATTTAAATATATGAAGGGTGGTCTTTAACTTTTGCATAATACTGTATAAACATTTACTAGATCTAAACCTACATCTGTACAGTATGTGAGGCTCTATTCTGCAAGCACCATGTTTAAACTGCTGCACTTTATCAGGTGCTGTGCTTTGCTGTTCCATTTGGATGGGGGGGCATGCTGAGGTGGCCCCTTCCAGAGGAGGCCATTAAATTTGGAGAGGCAGTTGAGAGATTTGCCAATCTCAGAGCTGAAACGGCCTTGCTGTGGTTATATTTCACAGTGGCACTGAGTGAGTCATAGGCCAGTGTCACGGCCACAGTGTCGGAGGAGCAACGGGAGTGAAGGATAAATAGTGAGTGCAGACTGGCTGACCATATACAGCTCCAGGTATTCTCATCAACACCTTAGTGAAACACATTAACGCTTATAAACACTGATTACTCACATAACACGTACTATGTCCTGAGGAAACACCTAATGAGGTCCATTGCATGTACTGTGTTTCATGTTTGGGAGATTTATTTACCTGCAAGGAGGTGTCAAAAGATTGATGTCAATTGATGGTTCCTTAACCACATGCATAAATCAGAGACAACCCTTTGCTTATTCAATTTCCAGCCAAATAGGCAAAATACAAGTTAGTCATTTTTCAGCATCAGAAAAGAGCAGAGAACATTTATTTAAAACAAAATATATTTAAGAGAAAATGACACAGATGACTGGACTAAATATTAAATTCTTAAGTATTTAATGTGTCCACCCTTTATTACAGCTACCATTCTTTTTTGGAAACTTGCTTTGCAGGGATATTTTTCTACACCTCCAAAGTTCAGTCTTAGAAGCTGGTTGCATTCTCATAATCCAAGTAATTCCATCATTCTGTGATGTTCAGGTCTGGGCTCTGAGATGGCCAGTCTGCTGTTCTGAGAACACTTACATTTACATTTATGGCATTTGGCAGAAGTTCTTATGCAGAGCGACTCACAATCTGATCATTTTTACACAGGTAGGCGAGGGTAGTGTTAGGAGTCTTGCCCAAGGACTCTTATTGGTATGGCATAGGGTGCTTGTCCAGTCAGGGGATCCCCGGTCTATAGCATGGGAGGTAGATGTGCTACCCACTACACTATACCAGCCACAGAACATTGCTTATAAACATTCTTTGAGACCTATAGTGTTGAGTGGTCTTCTCACAGTGGAAGGATGGACAGAAAAACCTGTGGAGTTTTTCAGATCTGAAGTAAGAGCGGGGCTTGATTTTCTCCTCTCTCTCAAAGATGAAAGCTTTAAGTGCTGTTTATGTGATGGTGATTGTTTTGTGGTCTTGTATTTTCCAGTTTTCCTTGTTTTCCAGGTCTTGTATTTGTTAGGAGTCAATTTTTTTCTATATCGTGTAATCATTTTTGAAGTCTAGTTTTGGAAACTCCTTTTTTTATATTTATTTTTCTTTGACTTTCCCCTTGCTTATGCACATGGGTTATCTTTTAAATAATCTCCTCAGACATATGTCCTAAAAAATGAATAGCTTGTACTTAATGGCCATTTTTACTGGAAATTAAATCCATCAAGGGTGGTCTCTGACTTTTGCACAGTACTGTAAATGAGATGTGTGAAGAATCTTTCAAGAACCTCCACATAATGTAAACACAATTAAACAGTTTACAACCAAGCCAAGAACCACTTAGGAAGTTTTATTTATAAGACTGTAATGAAAGTCCATTTTCATTTCTCTTGTCTGGCTGAGCTGGACTGAAAGAACACTAACTACAAATACCATCCCCCCCTGAACTGTCGCTTGCTTTTAAGAGATGGAGTTCCACACATGATCACACACACACATACAAAAAGGCAAAAAGGCAGTAGGTCTGCTTGTTTTTCAAAGAGTCAGAGGGGAAGAGGAGAGAGCAGGAACAGAGTGCACGGGCAATCTAGCTCAGCATTGTTCGGAAAAATAGGTCACATGAAAACCCAGAGTCAAACACAGTCATCCACAGCGGCTGTAAAAAGCCCAAGACTTCACGTAGTGAATAGATTGTGCATTCACATACATGAAACATCTGGCCCTGTGTGTTATTTCAAGGTCCACTAACGCTGCCAGATATAATTTCTGTGTACTTCCTGTGGATAATATAGATTTCCATGTATGGCACTCACATTTGCTGCTATCTTTAGACTTCTCTTTGTACACTAAACCAGATCTGAGTGATCCATGTGTGTTTACACTGATATGTCCTGTGGTAACTAATGTATCATCTCAGCCAAGAGAGGAACGCACGCCCCATCCTCCCTCTTGTTCATATTAATCAGTGAGATAGTCAAATGACAGAGGGAGCTTCGCCATTCGTACCAAAACAGCCCCCGAAAAGACATGCAAAGCAAAAGAGACTGAAATCACTAAGAATTGTTTTCCTGGCAATTGCAAAGTCATTAAGCTCAATATAAAATGGATATGCATGATTCCAGACTGCACTCGCTCCCTCGAGGCAAAACTGCTTCAATAAACCCAATGCAAAGTAGTGTGTCACACATTCAGGCCTCTGGAAACATCTCACTACCATATATAGAAAAAACCTGCATATTTATCAGATTTCAAAGACTCTGGAATGTCTGTTTTCCATTCTCAGTCTTTCTCTCTTCCTGTGAATAGCAGGTAAGTGTTTTAGCAGTAGGAGAATGTCTCATGTAGTAGGATCCTGTCACAGA